TTATACCTTTACGATAGAACTCTGAACCCCTAGATTAGGCAATAGCCTCTGTGGGGAGCCCGCCACCCCGCGAACTCAGGAGATCATCCGCTCGAAAAGCAACAGTGCTCTTTAGCAAAGCTTACCAATAAAAAAATAATGGTAATTGTTTGGTGGTCTCTTCATGGTGTAATTCACTATACTTAGTATTCTCAGGTCTGGTCAGACAATAACAGCAGATGTTTACTATGCCGAACTTCAAACAATGATGGCGAAACTGGCAGTAAAACAGCCTCGACTCGTGAATCGATCTTCTCCATTATTGCTCCATGATAACGCAAGACTCACACTGCACGAGAAACCGTTGTAACTCTACAGAAACTGCAGTTAGCAGTTAGCGGGAGGAAGTTCGCCGCCTCTACTGTGCGGTGATACGATCCATGGCCCTCTACGGAGCGCCGATATGGGCCAAGCGCCTATCGGCATCCTCCCACTACCGAGCTAAGCTCAATCAAGCGCAGCGGGTAGTGGCCATTCGGATCGTACGGGGTTACCGCACGATTTACTCGGAGGTGGCAACAGTCCTGGCACGTTTCCTGCCTTTTGATATCCTGGCGGGTATAGACGCGTGGGTATGTGACCAGACTCGCGCGATCCGCCAGGGTGAGAGCGGGGACGACCAGGACGAGCTCGAAATGCACTCTCGAATCACCGACAGGCACTCGCGCAGAGGCGCGCGGTTGGAACAGCCGCGGAATGCGCGTCAACGTGCTGTCGGTGTCGTTTTGCCTAACCTCGAAGCTTGGGTAAGTAGGGAGGGAGGTCGCGTCACTTACCGACTGACGCAGGTGCTCATTTAACATGGCTGCTTCGGTGTACCTGAATCAGATTGGACGCGAGGAGACGGCACAATGCCAGCACTGCGCGGCCGACTGGGACTCCGCCTAGCACACGCTGGAAGACCGCCCCGTGTTGGTCGACCAAACCGGAGGAAATCTGTCCGTCAGTAATCATTGCTGCCATGCTGGCGGGTAAGGAGGGCTGGGGCGCAGTGGTCTCTTTCTGTGAAGCTGTAATGCTCCAGAAAGAAACCGCTGAACGGGATCGGGAGAGGGCCGATCCGGAGCGCAGAGGACGTCGGCGGTGATACCAGCCGTCGACGGGGCCGCCGGCTGCCAGAGAGTGGGGACCTCTAGTGGCAGATTAACTGCTGCGGTAGGCGATATAATGGCAGCCTGGTCGCAAAATTGCGATCGGGCCGCAACATATTATAAGGATTGGGCCGATAGGCGGGGGAAGTTCGCCGGGATAGGCGTAATAACATGGTCCGGGTCCTCCTAGGAGTAGGACGCGTCGGGGAGATTTTTGTGTGTTAGTGGAAACGCCACATACTCCTGGCTCTTACATCCCCAAGGAGCTGGAGATCCAAAGGGATTTACCACCCCATCTACAAAAAAAAGGTAGGGTAACGTTAAACCAAGCCGCTAATTCCTGGGTAGTGACTCGGATCGACTTCCACAGTCTCCTTCAATTCAGCGTTATTCTTCCAGGTGATTCGTTCTTCAAGTTGAAGTTTCCATTACGAAAGCGTTTAAACCAAAAAAAACGCACGGTGCGTTCATTAGTAGTCTCCTCAGTCCTCCTGCAGTGTTATTAAAAATGACTTGGATTTTCGAAGTATCCATCTTTCGTCTAAGCTGAATAAAAAAATCTATTGAAATTCTAAAATCGAATGTTGGACATTTTTTGAAAGAAGAACCTCATAGGTGTCATGTGAAAAAAGTTTTAAACGAAAATCTCACACCAAGTTTTTATGTCAATTTAAATTGTTTGTTACTTTTCAACGGCAGTTTCATACTTTAACCCCTATTAATTTATACTTTTTGTTCATCAATTTTCCAAGTGATGGGGATGAAAATTTAGATAACGATGGCGGAAAGTTGCGGCCGGTCTTAGTCCGAACAATTCATTGGAGAACTCTCCATGATATATGAGTTATGCATACATGCAGTTATGCAGCCAAGGGATCGAGCCGATCGGAGATCTTTGGACTATAGACGATTTGAGTCGCTCTTCGTTGGATGCGGTCCAGAGGGAGAAGGTCATACTGATACTCTGCATAGCAATAGACGCTACTAGTTTGCAACATGTCATTGATATGCAGAAGAAACAGTGGGGGTGATAGCACACAGCCTTGCGGGGCACCAACATTTACGGATTTCAAGTCGGAGCATGCACACCTTATGCATTGACCTTGCATAACCTTAGTGCTTCTTCTACTTCGACTAATTAGCTACTAAATTGAGGAGAAAACAGATATTCGCTAGATGCCCTAGTTTTTGAGATACAAGCTGGGGTGACTGACCCCAGCAGAGCCACCTATAAGGGCTTATAACTTTTGAACCAGTGACCGAAAAAATCTTATATTTGGCAAATTTAGACTAATAAGCAACATATTTTTTGTTTTCATTTTCATTAAATCATCTTAAAACGGTGCATTACTTTTTGTTTTTTTATTGCACAACAAATTAAAACTAATTCTTAAGAAGTTATGTACTAAAGATGCTCAGAAACCGCTTACCCGTTTCAGAGATCCAGAAAAACAAGAAAGAAGAAAGAACACATACAAAATAGGTTGCAATATTTACCTTAAATTATTTAATTATATAAATTAGTTATCTAGACGAGGTAAATGTTATGCGTTAATATTTACTTCAATATTCCAATTGAAAAAGAAAATTTCTGGCTGTGGTAATTACTGCAGTAGAAAATTTTGTGAAATAACAAAAAAACTATAAGTGCAACTACAAGCTAGGCAATTAATTATCAATGCCATTTAATTGACTATTTTCGACATTATTTTGCTAGAGGAACGCACACAACGCTAAACTGTCCTCTTGCACACAAAATTCACAGTCAGCTCTGTACCGCTCACATCTCGGGTCGTCTCGTCCATCCAAGGAATTTCTTTTCTATACGACCTTATAACGCCTCGTGTTTCGCTAGTTTCAGACCCTTTCGATTAGTATAATTCTATTAACATATTTGACGCACGCAATATAAGTAAATACCAGAATGCAGTTTCTAAACGCATGTGCAATAGGGGAACAGTAATTATTGAAACAATAGTAAACTCTTCTAATAGTTTATAGTAATCTAAATTTTATATATACAAAGAAAAAGATAAGACAAAACAATTCGTATAAGTACACTTCTAAGCTGAGAGTTATACTTAACGTGTAATGAGAAGAGAAGCCATTTGTTAATTGAAGTTTTAGCTCAGTTCATGAGTAATAAATAAATAAATAGCTTTTACACTACATACATTGATATATCCATGCATATAATGCCTCCCCTAAAATGTCACTTTGAACAAAACAAAAATAGAGGTCAAAAAGTAGTAAGTAGAGAATATAAAGCTATTACATACTGGTACTAATTCTGTTGTTCGAAAACTCTCTAAACTAAACTAAAAATCACTAAAAATTTGTTTAGTCCTATCAAGTATTACGTTTTCAGAATACCAAACGTTATTTGACAGGACTAAACTAATTTTTAGTGATTTTTAGTTTAGTTTAGAGAGTTTTTGAACAACAGAATTAGCACCAATATATTTCTGTTAAATTTATTTTGTGTTAACAATCATGTAACAAACGTCATATTAGCAAATATTTACAATGGCTCTGCAAACAGATTTACTGAAGAACAAAAAACGGAAACTATTACGAATCTGATTTTTTTAAATTATGGTAGAGTTAATAATCACAAACCTACAGTATTCAAGCATAGCCACGTTCACGAATTATTGTATCACAAATGATTCAATTACACAAGTATCTTATGCTAAAACTGTTGACGGCAAACGCCGATGACAATAACTTATAATAATTAAACTAATCAATAAACTAACTAGTCCGCACTGTTATGTTCCGGAAATTCAGTCTTAGCTAGTGCACTTGCAAAAACCACTTATAAAAGCTGTTGTAATATATTCTTCACAGCAGTTACAATTATTTTATCTTCAATAACTTTGGCAAAGGTAAAAATTATGGTTATATAATGTTCATAGAATAAATTTTTGAAAATCATTATCACGATTATTATTATTGGTAATTTATATTGTTATTAGTTGAGAACTAAACATTTGTTCTTGTCGAAGTTTTTTGGAATTCTAAAAGCTAATAATCAAAGTTCTATGCTTTTCTCATTGTAACTCAATTATTTTGATCAATTACATACTAATTATTGCAGATATTTGTAAGAGCTACCAAGGCCACAATACAACTACTTGTATACATAATATTGCTTAAAAAATATAGATACATCTCTTTGAATATGGACATAAATGACACAATTTCTAGTAAGCATATAACTAGATAACATTTATGTCACATCACTAAGGAAGCTATCCAAAAAGGTTTTAAAACTCGTAATTCTTTTTTAACTTATTCCTCTTTGTATAATTTACTTATAAAAAGGTTGTCAGATCATGTTTAACAGAACGTCAATAATGTAAGACGCCCTAAATATGGAATATTCGTACGAATCTAACACATTGAAACCAATCAAATTATATCACATACAAAAAATTCGACCAATCATCTAGGCAGCACATCTGGGAACTGTTTACAGGTGACCAACATTGTCAATTACAGTACAATTAGTATGTATGTTTTTATTGATCACTGGCTGACAAACTGGAACTAAACAGAGCTTCATCTTACACGAATAATATCACACGCAGTCCACTATCTGCTATCGTCACTGATACTTATCTCTATACTATCTACCACGAAATGTAGGAATCTTTTGTTCTTTGAATGACTCACTGAAATTTCAATACAATAGTACTACGTTAAATTTAGATGGATGATGAAACAAATAACTTTATAAATGTCAGTGGCAGCAATTTATACTTATGTATGCTACGCTACAACATCATAATCCCACTGTCACTGTCACTAGCACCATCGGCATTTCTTAGCTGTCTGCTGAATGTCATCGCTGGTGTGAACCAAAGTCTATTTATTATCGATAGCTTGCAAGTGATCGGGCCGCTCGCCCCTCGCGTACTTCGCCCACATCTTGTTGTATAACATTTCTAAGCCGGTAGCGTACGCTTTACAGTCAAACAGAGGACTATCTGTGCGCGCAGTCCACACTTTCGCGCGAATAGCTTTTAAACTGTAAAAAAAACATACATTGAAATTACTCTAGTTTGTGGTTCCATTTAGAAACTCAAACGCTTAATGTTAGCAAATAAATAGAATTTGTCTTGATGAACAGATATTTTTAGACACTTATAAAATCTGAGCAATGTTCCAGGATTCTAGGTGATTATTTCATAACATATGAGACAATGTTCTGTTGTTTTTAAACGATCACTTATCGTAACTTATTTTGTACTCTAGACAAATACTTTACTCTAAATAATTTAAGAAAGTCGGGATAAGTGCGAGTCAGACTCGCCCACCAAGGGTTCCGTACACATTTGTCGGTACATATTATTTTTATTTTATTAGTTCAGGAATCGAATCTCACAGTCTTTTCCAAGCTTTGACTGAAATTCAGTTTCCAAAACCTATAATTACTTTTATTGTAGAGTTTTATAAGAGAAATTGTACTTCTATGATTGATTACGTACTTTAAATAAAGACTATCTTTTATGATTTATTTACAAATTTATAGTTTTCAGATCTTTCCCTAAACTTGCAGTATAAGACGATGTTACTTGCCAAATTTCAGAGTTATAGATCAACGGGAAGTACCCTATGAATTTTGATTCCCTTGCAAGTGTCGAAATATGCGTTTTTTACTACATAAACGGCAGTATTTCTTTTACGTTAACTAGATTATTTTACAGCTTCAAGGCACCGTAGAGCTGAGTATATTATGATTTTAATTTCAACTCGATACCTCCCCACGCGTTCCAGAGATAAAAGTCTTGACAGACCGACATACAGACAACAGTGATCCTATAAGGGCTCCGTTTTTTTCCTTTTGAGGTATAGAATTCTAAAAAGCTTGATTTTTTTAAAGACTACTCCACATTAGGAATATAATCCTGAGTCACGAGGGACTTTAAAAACATACATGAAACAGACAAAGGACACCCAGACTCAGAACAACAATTTGTGGATGGATGAGGATTTATGGTCCTTTCATCAATAAAAATGGACTTCTTTCCTCTGAGTGCTACCCAACTAGCATGGGGTCGGCTTTAAATCTACTACGATACGGCTGAACTTCGATTTTCTACATGAATCAACTGCCATCACACCTCCACTGTCCAAGTACTTGGGCGATAGGACTATTATACGTATATATTCAACTGCTCGATATGTTAGATTGCAGTGTATGTCTATCTTACAAACTTGAGCAGGTAATGAACTTTCACACCTACCAAATTCTTTAGTAGATAAATTAAGGGTCTCAACTGCTAGTAGTAGTTAGGCACAGATGCTGTTTGTCTCCCCAAAAGCTGTCCATCTATTTTTGACTATTTACAGAACTATTGCCTTAAGTGCTATTCCATACTCTATGAATTTATTAACAGCATACTGCACGCGACACAGGATACATTACTAGTGCGCGAGTGGTCTTTTTAAAAGAAATTAAAAAAACTGAAGCCGATATTTAAACTCCTAGCCAAAATCAATGGATTGTAATAACCAAATACTTACTATTCCCTATCAGTTCCTAGTCTTACAGCTATATCTTGGTATTCTTGTCTCGTCCTGGCGATTAACTCTGGACAGCCGAGGGTGTTCAACTGAGATGCTGCCACTCTGAAAAAAAAAAACAAATGTAAAGATGAATTCATACACACAGCTTATGACAAAGATAACTTTACAATGATAAAGTATACTTACATATTATATGAAAAAAGTATGATGTGTATAAGAATTTTAAATTCAAAGTCAAGCATTTCATTTTTTCATATTGAAGTGACAGCACTTTGTTTTTACTCATAATGTTCAAAAATCTTTTAAATTTTAAATATAGCGGGAATAAGTCAGAATTCTGTTGTAAAATAATTTGCCCACATGTTAACAAGTTAACAGCATTTTAATGTGCACATGACCTATCTATTTCGTTTTATAATAATTCACTTACAGAAATATGGCTATTAGAGCTAAAATATGGTTATGTTATATTTACCCAGTTGTCATCAACTACAGGGTATAACATAATTTTGTTGTTTGGCTTTACCATCATTTTGTAAATAGTCATCCTTTATAGAACTAGCCATTGTTCGTGGCTTTGCTTGCATGTGATTATTTCTTATTCCATTTTAATAATTTTGAAAAAGATGATTTCCATACAATTTTTCATCACTTATTTTACCTCCTTGGAGGTGAAATTTCCAAAAATCTTTCTTAGTGGGTGTTTTTAAATTAAAAGACCTCTGCTGCCAAAACTTCTTAAAGCTCCAGTAATCAAGGTAAGTAATTTTATAAGTATAGATGTTCCATATGGAATCTTTTACAAAACTGAGGTTTTGTACAAGTTAACAATGGTTCTTATATGTATAGAATATTTTTATACAAGTAAATTACAATTACCTAGATGCTAAAGTTTCGCCAGGCAACGTGACCACAGGTGTACCCGTCCACAAAATGTCCATGCTAGTAGTGTGCCCGTTACACAAAGGAGTGTCCAGACACACGTCTGCTAGCTGTCCACGACGAACGTGCTCCTCTTTAGCTGCCACGTTGGAGAAGATAATGCGACCCGGGGGAAGTCCTGGTAACATTTATATAACATGTCACATTCTAGTTAAAGTATCAGTGATATAAGTTTATAATGTGTATTTAAAAACTCAAGTTCTGTAATGAAAGTGATAGAGTTATGTGTGTATATACACAATTGCCATGCATGAATGGTCTAGATAAGCTTATAAATATTTGCCTTTAAATTACCTAATTGTTGTGCAGTACTCTGAAGGTTCGGCTCACCGACGGCCGGGAACCTCAACAGCCACAATACACTGTTCGGTACATGCTTCAGGATATAAACCCACATATGTAGTGTTAATGGATCAATTTTGTACAACTGGTTGAAGTTACAGTATACCACAGCCTCGTCAGGTAGGCCATATTGTTGTCGGGTCGTGATTACAATAGACTGGGGCACTTCCTCTCCAGTAGCCGCTTTATTATTAGTTTGTGTTGTCGCCAAGCCATTTTGTAAAATAACGCCATTTACAGATGTCTGTAAAAGAGTTTATTACAACACGATTAAACAACCCTGATCGTACATATAAGTATGTCTTAGTCAATTAATAGTGTTAAGAGTTTATTACATATTATTTATATTTTTACATAAGATACAGATATACATAATAATATGTTATTTGCACGACACCTATGCCTAAAAACCAGTTTGTTCTGGATAATTTTTAAAACGGCTGAACCGATTTTGATAATACTTGACTAACAGGTAGCTGCCTATTTAAGGAGTAACTTAGACTATTTTTCTCTCAGATAAACCCTGATAAATTTTGCTCGGTCCGGGAATCAAACCCACTAAGGCAGCGATTTTCAAATGCCACGCGAACGAAGTCACGGGCACCACGGGCAAGTGTTAAATAAAATTGATGTTACCTGCACTTGTCCAGAAGCAATCATGGTTTCAATAGGTGTAGTAGTCGGTAATTCAGCAACTTTAAGAGAGATCTCTACGGGCCTCGCAGCTCTAACAATTTCTTTAATTTCCTTAACATCCGTATTTTCGACCAGAGGCGATAAATCAGTGGCATTAATCACTGCCACGTTATCAGCAACACCTCCCAAATTATTATGAGACTTGATCTTGTCACTAAGAATCAAACGTTCTTGTAAATGCGGGAACATTTGTTTGTGGTCGCCCACAAAGTACGTGTGTGGCATGTAAGACAACTTCTCACTATACTGACTCGCCAGTTCTAAGGGCGACGTAACAGCGTCTGTTACCAAATAATCCATATAACTAGCTCCACTTGTACCCGGGTATCCGAGCCACATCACTTGTACAGGTGCCGGTCGTAGCGCAAAAATTTCATTCCTCGCTCCTTTAGTGTATCCATTCATATTGACGAGAATGTGAATACCGTCACCGTATATTTTGTCGGCAGCTTTGCCATTACATGGCATTTGTGACAAGTCAATGAAATGCTCCGCCTCTCTGGCGATTTTAGATCGGAACGTGGTACCGTCATCAGGGCTTAATGCGTAGCAGAATATTTCCACCTTTGCTCGGTCATGTAGACCTGGAACTGACTGCATTAAATGAGAAGTAGGATGGTTACCAAAGTCGCTGCTTACGTAACCAACGCGAAGGCGTCCAGTTAATTCTCTTGGGAATTTATATGGTGGTTTGTGCAGAACCTGTACTTTTTCGAGACACAAATTTGCATGTCGAGCAGCGATGGCTTTTCTAAAGTCATGTGTAAGCGGATACAACATGGAATGATGAGGATGGACTGACGGTAATCTATTCTTATCAAGTTGCTCGGCTACAATGCTAACAAGTTTCTTCATGCGTGCTTCATAATCGGTCCAATCACACACGATTTGCAAGCAATGAGCCAAATTGCAATATGCATCAGGGAAGTCTGGTTTTAACTTCAAAGCCGTTCTATAAGACTGGATAGCTTCGGGAATATTTCCAGAATCTTTGTGAATGCTAGCAAGATTGCTGTGAGCATCAGCAAAGGCAGGGTTTATCTGTATAGCTCGTGTGTAACATTGTAAAGCGCCTGCAACATCCTGCATCTCTTTAAGCGTGTTACCCATGTTACTATACGCATCAGCAAATGTTGGTTGAATGCGTATTGCCTCTTTGTAATGCATAAGGGCTTCATTTAGCTTGCCTTGCTGTTGTAATACTGAAGCCAAATTGCTGTGAGCAGCAGCAAATTCCGGAAACACTTCCAAAGCTTTCAAATATAACCTTGTTGCTTCCTCAATGTAGCCTTGTTCGCGTTTGATATTCGCCAAGTTGTTGAGTGAGTCAGCGTGTGACGGGCACAGTCGTAAAGCTGTGTTGTAGCATTCTTCAGCGTCAGCCACTTGTCCTTTTTCTTTAAGGGCATTTGCTAGATTACAATAAGCGTCGGGGAAGTTTGGTTGTAATTCAATGGCTCGCCTGTATGTATCGATTGCCAAATCAATTAATCCTTGTTCATAGTAAACACATGCCAAGTTGCCATGGACGACGGCGTTATTTGGTGATAAATTTAATGCTCTGAGGTACGCTGCCACGGCCCTGTCAAACATAAGAATTTTTATTTATATTAGAATCGATACAATTCACATAAAATTATATCGGACGATATTCAAGGGTTATTTATAACATTTTCACCAACCTATCAAAAATCCTTGCTTCTTTAAGGACATTTCCCAAATTGATATAGGCGTCCAAAAAATTTGGGTCTAGGGCGACCGCCTTCTCAAAATGATGAATAGCCAACCAAATTTCACTCTGTGCGTTAAATACACATCCTAAGTTACTCCATGCGACCGCAAAATCCGGCCTTGTTTCTATTGCCTTCAAGTAACAAGCCTACACACACGAAAAAACATCATATTAAATATTGAACAATATGGTATTTTAATGTAATGAAGTTCTGAAATGTATGTTACGCCAATGACAATAATTACACCTTAGCGACGAACAATGCGAGGTGTTCACTTATATTTGGTTGAACTGCATTAAATCTTCAAGAACATCAAGCATTGATCGCGAACAATGTAAAGTTACGCAAATTGCCCCTAGAAACACGATACTACGCCGAATGCCACACACATCAGTAGGAAATGCAAACGAAAAACAATTGTAATCGTAGTGCATCTGCACCTCCTTATAAAATTAAAAATACAAAAATAAGCGAGTACAAGTGAAACGCTTCCACTTCCTAGCCGATGAGGGAGGATGACACGACAGTGGTAAGTCAATTAGCACGAGTTGTTTCCAATATCCCTGTTCATAGTTTATTTCTTGCAAACCTTTTCCACTTTACCTGCAGCAAGTTTGGTGTCATCGTGGCGGGAATGTGAGTTGCGTACCAATCGTAACCCAGCTAGATACAGCAGCGGTCACACCTACACTTGCCTTACCAGACAATACCTTGTGAAAATATAATAGAAATTAGTTGATTTTGAGTCAAGCTGTTGTACCCGATCTTCTTAACAATTTTATTTGTATTTCAAATATTTATGATTGAGGATCATTGTCTCACGCTGTCATCGAGCAGAGTATTGCGACAGGCATGATGTGGCTGACCAAAACATGTTACAAAACAATAAGTCACTACGTCATTGTCACTAAATGAAAACACTACTGACTCCCCTGATCCTCCAATGTAATATAAGTCATCACTACAAGCGCAAGGATTACAAGTTCAACTGATAAAGAAAACAGGATTTAGTACGATAATGTTTTAGTAGTACAACGTAAATTAGTATACTCTCATATGCTTATCAATACCCTGCACAACCATGTAAAGCAACGCCTTGTAAAGTATTTATAAATTAAAATATAATAAATGCTATGTACAAATATTGTGCTAGGAATTGATGTTTCTTTACGCTTAAATGCTGTCACATAATATTACACCACTCTTAACCCCAAAACTTTTACGTAAACATTTAAAAAATACATGCTTTGTTCAGTATCCACTTGGTTTTCAATGAAATAACACATTGCGTCTTATGGGTATTTTATAATTCTATTATCATGAAAAACAAATGTCACATACGCTACGTAAAATATCTGCAGTTAGTACTCGTTAACAATATACATTAGAGAAAAAAAAAATAAAGAAAATATTTGATTACAATATACTAAATCATGTAATATTTTGTGACTGTATGTAACGTGTAACAAGGTAGGAGACGAATATAAATAAGCATAAAAAAAACAGCGACATCCGATCTTGTTCTCACGTATTTCATCACAATGGCTTCAACAAACACTCTTGAACAAACATTCATCTGTATACGAAACTAAAAAGTAACTTCTATTAAATAGTTGAAACCATCGTGAGGGGAACGCAAACAGCATCATTTTAAAATTTATACGCATTAGCAATAATGTACGCCTATATAGCAGAGAGCACGCTAATTTGGTACAGCACAAAGGCAATTTATACAGAATCCTGTTAACTTCGGAGCAAACCAGAAAGTTCTGGGGGAAATTATATTTACCTTTGCCTCGTCTAGTCGTCCAAGCGCTTTAAGCAAATTGCCCAAATCGCTTCTTACGCAATATAGGTCCTGAAACAACAGACACTAAGTTAATATCTTTAAAAATCTTAAATAATAATAGATACTTCTTAGTATAACTGCACTGTATAGTCTGTGTATAACTGTACAGGTCCTCAGAAAATATTGTTTACGTTTTAACAGCCTGAAGGGAATGCAGACCTGAGTCATATACTCAACTTTTAATTTTTACTCGATACCTCTACGCGTTCCCGCGATATAGGGTCTTGACAGACGGACGACAAAGAGATCTATAAGAGTGCCGTTTTATCCTTAGAGGTACGGAACCCTATAAAACAGTCGGATGGAGAACCTCCTTTCTTGTGTGGTTGCTGGTTGTTGGTAATATTGATCTTATAGTGATTGTTAGAAGAATTTTCTTTTTTATGTATGCATTAAGTTATGTATGTAGGCTTTTTGAACGTACCGTACCGTACCTACCCAAAGTATGAACTTAGCTATACTAATATAATCTTTACTAATAAAGGAGCATGCCCAGTTATGGTTTAACTTTTAGACGTTCGCGTCATTATTTCAAATGTTAAAAAAATATATTTTAATGTGACTTTTAAAGTCAGTATCACAATATTTTCTCGTTGTTAATATTTTCACATTTATTTTATTTTCTCAATAACCTCTAATAAACAAGTTCTGTTTTACGTTAATATTTCAGACTACCTGGAATGTATAGAATTCATTGAAGAAATTATAGGCTATTATATAATCTATCTATCTATTGTATAATGTATAAAAATGTTAAGTTGGTTTGTGTACACTACAAAACTCAATGATATGACATGATACACACAAACCGCTTAAAATGTTGTTTCTCTCTTTTTCACATCAGTTTTGTTCTTCATTTTTCATCAATGCAATTACAATGTGCCCCAGAAAAGCGTATTAAACAAGCTAACAGCTAGTATTAAACAAGAAAAACCAAATTTGGTTTATAATTAGTTATTTGAAACATTTCCATTGTTTTAACTTTAGGTGACAAAATGAGATTATGTACATTGAACCAGTTATAAATGATTGGATTGTTAAAAATAGGCAATTCAAAATCTTTTACTTTTTCAGCCTTAATGTCCTTTAATTTTGGATAAGAAATATTAAACTCTATGTTGTTCATTCATCATCATCATCATTATCATCATCAACAGCCTTTAATAGTCCACTGCTGGTCATAGGCCTCTCCTTAGAAAGGAGGTTTTGGCCTACTATACCACGCTGGCCAGACGGGTTGGTATAGGGTTTGTCTTAAGTTTTCCTTCTTTTTGCAGTGCTGGTGTCCCGCGTTGTTTTGCGCGCTTAGTCAGCTCTTACGACACCCACGGGATGAATTGGGGTAGTGACATTCCGTATTCTTAATCCATCACTACATGGATGTTGTTACGTAAATATAATTTCTACGTTTCAAGGGACACCTGATAGTGTGACACCGTGGGCAGCTGTAAGACGATAACACGGCATACCATGTAATTATAATTATTTTTAAATGAGAAGCCAAAAGGTGCCCACTGAATACATCGCGACGTCCCAGGACAGCTACCAACCCTCAAGATAGATCCGATAATTTTTACCAGATTTTTCTCACCAAATCATAGTCTATAAAATGTAATTTAATACTAACAGTCCATTTGCAAATGCAGTATTTCGTGATAAAATCATAAGGACATTGAATTTCAGTCTTAGATCCACAATCACCAATAATCTAATCATCAATATTTCAATGACATTCATATCAGAAGGGCATGAGCTTCAGTGAAGAGTTGAGAGAGTTATTATTAATTTGAGTGCTGTTTTATTAATTATGCTTGTAATATTTACAAATAGCGCTTTCTCAGTATTGGTTCATAATGTTCACTTCATCTAGCTTACCTTAACAATACAAATATTATTATTGTAGCCTGTACATGTCCAATATACATCCATATAAATAATGTTTTATCTATAAACATTTGTGTAATTCAATAGGCAATGGACATGTTTACACATATTTGGTTTTCAATTAACACTCTTGTTTAAAAAGGTGATAAATATGTACATTACATACAACCAAAGAAATACAAGGAAACACAACACAACTGTCTATCTGTAAATTGTTGGGAAGAGTCATATTGCATCAAATAATTCCAAATAAAAAATTTGCCTAATATCAGAGGTTCAAATTATACTGGTTTGATATTGATATTAATGTACTATGTAGCATTCAGTAATATGTAATCTAAAGTTGTGTAACTCTGAGCAAAGGATAAGTCCAGTTAAAATGCAAGATGAATTAATAGCTCTTAGTGGTGGAACTTCTAGACAGGACCAAGAAACATATTCCATGATCCTAAAAAAACGAATTACAATTTCAAACTTACGGGATTATACTGAAGGGCGGTGACATATGCCTGCACTGCCTGCTCCATGTCTCCTGCTGCGACCAAGGCTGCCGCCAAGTTGATGTATCCGTCGATAAAATCTGGTTTGAGTCTGACAGCATGCCTGTAGTTCTCCAACGCCTCTTGAAGTTGACCACGCTCCTTGTACACGTTTCCTAGATTGCTGTAAAAAACAAATCATTTTAACTGCCTCTAACCCAAAAATCCTAGCAATGATTAGTCATGGAGAAAAAGAACAAAAACGTACTTATAATAAAAATTGTTTCGTCCTTTTTAGGAGTTGTGCTGCTATAGACAGAAAAACAAACTAATACACACATCATGTTCTTAGGACTCCTGTAGTAAAGATGATGGAATAGTTGCATAAATATAACATTATTTTTATTTCATGAAACCTATACTACTGGAACCATCATCAGATCTAGTTAAAATATCCAATCAACTTCAATTAGATGACCACACCCAGCTCCTTCAAACTAACCTTGTTTAAAATGACACAACAGCAAACAGTGTTAGACATTCTCACACGAAAATTATATTAATTGGCACATTGTCTTTTAAAAATTACTATATAGGTATGTCCATGAGATAGCTACTAGCTACCTAGCTGCATGCTCGTCTTCTAACATAAAGCATTTGGCGTCATACATAACATTGGCTTGCTAGTTTTGTAAATATGTTTTGTATACATGTTTTATGATTTGTCTTTAAAATATTCAATATTTATTTCAGATTTTGTTAACTTTTTGTTGCAACTCAAAGCAATTATTGAGTTTAATTATTTTACAAGTTTAATGAGGAATCATCTATACTAGTCTATTCTAATTTTATAAAGAGCAAAGATTTGAGTTTTTGTTTGTTGAAAGCTACATTATCAGCGAGTGACCTGGCTATATTTTTTTTTTTTTTAAATAAGTAAATGCCTGTAAAAATGACATTTACTTTGAAGCTAGGTATGAATTACAACAAATATTTGCTTTCATCGCGTGTGCTGCAAAAACTATTAGTAGAACATAAAAAGTACGATATATTGTGAACGTTACTCACCATACGCACAAAAAAGTCCACGAGGAGGTATGTTTAAATATTATAGTTTGCTACGAGTATAATAACCATTTTTTATTGAAATTAGTATGCTAAAGTATAGATCAAAACAAAAAGTGATTCTATCAGTATCATGTTATTTATCAGTATCTAAATAAACTAATCGTGGTGATGATGCGTAATAAAAAATTAAAAATTATCGTAAAAACCGTTACTGAACAATGTATCCACGTCGTAGAAGCATCTTCTTTATATAGTATAAAATGAAGTCGCTTCTCGCCACGCTTAGATCTTCCAAACTAAGCAACGGATATGAAGCTTTTTTAAAAACAGAGTATTATTCCTTATCCAATTAAATATGTTCGATACGTTTAACATATGCAGCATGTATGAATTTAATGTAGATCTAAATTGCCCTTTACAGCATATCATTACAATCAATATTTATCGACATATTTTATTCCAAATTTAGTAAATTTAAAAACAATGTTATGCATATTATGTCATCAATGTTGGTCTAATTTGTTATGAATTTTAAATTTTACACTTATTTTTGTGCATGCAACTTAAAAGCTACTAGCATCTTGTATCACCTACATTGCCATGTTGTGTACACATATTTAGGAGAACAGCTAAGAACGAAACTGTTAGTGTTAGCTATTTATAAGACTAAGTTTTGTGTTATGTTCTGTTTTGTGTGCCTAAATAAAATAAATAAATAAATAAAAATCTTAGAAGATATTAAAGATTTAAATTGCGGGGGCAAAGCGACTCTCGCCTTCGCCCGTGTCACTAAATAGTACGAAATATTCTATAGTCTAATAATAATATAATTTATTTCTCCACATTGACACCACGTTAGTATCTACATTGCACCCGTGCGAAGCTGGGCGGGTCGCTAGTATTACATATGAAGAATTTATTTACATGAGCAATTTTCATAATTACACTAAAAAAAAATTCTGTAGAATACTAAATAAATAGATAAAAATATTTTGAATTCTACCAAAAATATTTATATGTGGTCAAAAAACTAACAAAGCAATCTTCTTTCTTTTTGAGGAGACATATTTTCTATCACCAATGTCCATGTATGTTCTATCATTAATTTTAAACTAAAAATAGGATGTGTGTGTGGTTATACATTAGTATTATTTTAAAGAGGTTAACAATAACAAGTAACAAATTTAATTTCATGATTCATGTAAAAGTAAGTAGTCATTGCTGCCATATTTTTTTATTGTTATATTATAACAACATATTCAAGAAATGTCTATTAAATAAGAATTTGCTTGATTAAAAATGATACAGCATTATCTGCTGTTAAAGCAAAATGTTATATTCATTAGTTCCAAAATTAGCAAAATGTTATATCCATATTATGCATTAGCTGTTTATACTTAACCTTCAAACAAATAATTCATCATTGTCTGCAAAATAACTTCAGGTGGATACATATCTATCCACCTTTATGGCAAATGTTTATAAGTTATAGTAATGATCTATTATTATTTTAAAAGTGTTTTGACTGTTTCCATGTAACATTGTCATTATGCTGTCAGGGGGTAAAATTTAAACATTCAAATAATAATTTAATGTCCTTGGGTGATGGTAGTCGCTTTCCATTGGGTGAAGCATCTGCCCTCTTCCAAAAAATAAAAACTATTGCATTAGAATCATTTAAAGATAAGGACTAGATAACAAGGCAACTGATCAAGGAGGAAAAACCTGTTGTTGACAAAGACTTTTTATGAAAATTTTAAGACTATATAAAAAGAACAGAAATATCAATATATATTTAATTTGAGATCATGAAGCTTACAGTTCTTAGAAATGGAAGGACTTAGGAAGTCTATTAGAGAAATGTAGAATACACTGTTAATACACACTAGGATACACACTGTAAATACAACAGTGTTATAATGCATCTCTGGATACTATTTGGCACTTATAGATCACTGAAGTACCTACAGAAAAAATCAAGGAGGAAAAACATGTTTATTATTACTCAAAGAACAAACAGTGATGTTATAATGGAAAATTTTACATGAATGAGCTAATAATGCATCTTATTGACAATTTATCAGAATGTATGTAATTACGCTTAGAATTAGAGTTGGAATTGTAAGTGTTCTGACAAGATCATGTACAGAAATAGTAAGATTTGAAAGCTAATGTATCTAGTAGGAGTTTAAATTTAAAATTATACTGACTTAGACAAGCCTTTATGCTAATATTGCTTAACAGTCACATCTCATGAGACTCCTACAAACACTGATTAAAATATCACTAATGTGGGGGAAATCATGAAGGATCATCATCATCAGGATATAAATCTTATGAATAAAGTAATATATATTACCTGTATGCCTCAGCCAGTAAAGGATTCTGTTTAATAGCCAATGTGGAAAAGTGGGCTGACTTGTCCAACCTACGGCATTGAAAGTGAATGGAAGACAGCAGTAAGAGGACACCTGTATTTGTGCCATCTTGTCTCCACAACTGCATACAATGTAGTTCAGCACTTTCATAGTCACCAGCTTGGTACTCACGATGTGCCAATTCAAGTAGTCCTAGGAAAACAAGGAGATATTTTGTAGAAATTAGGTATTTAAAGGATTATTACATCAATACTTTGCCATTTACATCACAAGGACTATGATATTATACCTAGGTATACTTTTCACTTAAACAAGGCATCACACCCCTTTAAGCAAGAAACACGAATAATATATGAAACGATTATGATAAGTGACTGAAACCATAGTATGTATATAAATGCAATCCAAAATGGTTTAGGGCACTTGAAAGGCTACATAACCTATTTGTATATTATCAATTGGGTTTACCAAACATAAATAATAATAACATCGTACTACTTTCTCCGAGGATAAGAATTTTGAGTCCTTGAAGTACAGGAGAATAACGCTAACAAAGCGATTTTAAAATTACTATTCTTAGGAAAATTCCTATGTTTATATTTGAAGTATTTTTACTTAGATGGTTAAATATCCGTAAAAATACTTACCGACTGTAGATATCTGCTGAATGTCGGACATTTTCAGTATTACTGCATTAGCAGGAACACCAACACCAACAATTTGCTGAGATTGGGGTTGCGTTGTGACAGATTGTGGCACAGCGACATTCGCTTGTGATTGCATTTTGGTTATCATTGTTCTTAGTACACACACGTATTTGTACCGACGCTAAAGGACAGAAATCCATTAAAAAGTTGCAGTCTTTAATTTAATTTCCATGGGCAAAAGTATTCACCGCAACGCCACCGCTGAAAATCTGCAAACTGCAATCCGCAAAAGCACGACGCCACGGATAACGGAAACAACTTTTTTTACCAACCATCCAACCTAATGCTTTAATAGATTTCAATTTGAGTTTTTGTAATAGCCGATTATAATCTTTACGCTTTCATGTATAATGAATATTTTAGCGTATCCTTTTTTTACTGCGCCTAAGTACTCCTGACGGATGTTTTACAATGAGCTAACACAAATGTATGGTTGTCTATGGTTTTTAGAATTATTATTTAACTTAAAGAATTTCAAGAGTGTACCTATGAAATTACATACTACACAGTTAAAAATAATCTAGTAAAAATTTTCTCATTTCAAAATGTACGTTAAATTTTATAAATTGGATATAAAAACTGAAAAGTTAAAACTTTGATGCTACATGTACATGCTTCATGTTTCCGGTAAAAATATTTAGCGCCAAATTAGAAAATTCCGCCATTATTAATACGAACTAATTTAAATAGGTAGTATTCAATTTTCTGAGGTTAGTAATTTATATTCTATTTTTCCATGTCGGTGTCATATAGTTATGAAAGATTTGAGAACATTTTAAGGCATAAGCCATTAAATTTGATACACTTTCTGTTGTATATATTTTTTTGTTGTAATAAATCTCAAACAAGATTTTTTATACGATATTATAACTAAGCTTTGTAAAATGCACAGCTAATAATACGCCATAGCGTCGTAATAGCCAGTAGTGAATATCGAAGGCCTATCGTTTGTACACAAAAAAACAAAAAAACCATCAAAATTTTGTTTGAAGTTTTAAAAGTTTTAACATTCCCAGAGTACCGATATGATGAGCAGACTGTTCACAGTTAGAGTCAGGTGTTGAGCAATGACACAATGGTGACTCGAAATTGAAATAAATACTGTTAGCTCTTAAAGTTACCATGACCTAAGTAAGAAATTGAGCAACACAGTAATCGACTTCAATCGACAACCGTTCGCGAAAAAATGGAAACACTGCACAGCGTTGTTGCCATTTGTCTATATTGTTAGACATTAGACTGCTATTGAAGCAATCTTGTGAATTTATGGCGAGCTTTTCTAGTGTTGAATAGTAAATGGCTGAACGTCTTTGCATCTCGAGATAGACTGGAAGCACGGGTGTGCTGCTTCCGGTCGGGAAGCCAACACGAGCAAACCCTCAGTACTAACCGTCCTATATGCCTTGCACAAGAATATTAGTGCAAGTCGTTGGCCTTGTAATAGTTTGCGACGGACAGCGCCTACAGTTGCCCTATCAGACCATACAGGTGAACCATAGCAGAGAGAACCTAAATAAGTAGCTCCGTAAATGTTCTTACCTAAGTGTATTAAATGAGAGACCCCACGTCGCAGTTGATGTCCTTGTCAATTCACAGAAACTCTTTTTAGACTTTTTTGTGATGTGAACAGCGAATACTTGCATAAACGTAAACGAGTGCAGAGGATATTCCACTAGACCTTCCTTTTAAAAACAAATTGTCTTGCTATCAGTCGAAAAACTTATTAGGGCTGTCACCGCTATATCGCACCACAGACGAAAAAATGGAATATCTTTTATTAGTATAGGTACATAATATATGAATATCTCGTGTCACAGTGTTTAAGGTCGCACTCCTGCGATTTTAATGTTTTTTTTGTATTGGTAGGTATGACAATTGGTCAAAAGTTGGTACATACGAAGCGGGAACAGGCCAGGTACCGCAGACGACTCAGGCGCCAGTGGTCGCAGAACGACCTCTGTCCTCCATAGCCGCAGGGCTGGTTGTGACAGGTAAGGCCATCTGTCACTCTAGCAGAAGCAGGCGAGGTTGGTTACGAGACGCGCTGTGGAGTGCGCGCGCCCTTTAGGAATACGGTGCGGGAACCACGGTGTGCCCACACCGTGGTTCCCGCACCCGAGGGGTCGTAGATGGCCCGGGGTCCATTAGGGTACCAGAGATTTCCTTCCTAAGGTATACCTGGTTCCCCGGCTACTGGCACCAAAGGCGGCATGTGGTTGTTAGTCGGTTCGAGTCCGAAATAACCACCGGTAATAATAATGATATTTCCGGAGCATTGACACACAACGCCATCTAATTTCAAACTAGCTGGCAGAGCTATTATTATGAAAGCTAAGTTGTTACTGGTGGGTGGTATCCGAGAGGATGTCCACACAGGAAAAATAAAGGTGGTATGTAAGATACAAGCAGATAAATGACAAAAAAATGCACTAGATTTCAGTATACAATCGAAATTTTAAAATTATAATTTGAGTTTCGGTTTCGGTTACGATTTCGGCCGAAATTGACCCAAGGGCCGAAAGTTTGGTTTCGGCTGAAAAACCTATGTCGGTCAGTCGGTCATCCACATGGAATCTAGCCTCAACGGCGAATAAGTTGTGTCCGCTATCGTCGTACTTGAGGTAACCGGCCCGGTACAGCCACATCTGAAATCGGGCCCGAAAAAATCTTTAGAACAGAACTGCGGCACACAACTAATTTGCCTCGTCATCTAGTATACAATAACGTACGTACATAATAAAACAACGTTTTTAGTACAAAAAAATATATTTATTGGACGGATTAAATGAAGAACAAGTATGACAATCATGATTGTACCTTAAGTTACATAACTATGTAAAATAAAGTTTAAGTATGTGCTTATACTAAATATAATAACAGCAGTTGTCTAATTCTCTAAATCTTGTAATTGTGGTATGAATGTATTATACCACAATTACAAGATCCTTAATTCAGTCAAAATGCAGAGGCACATACTAGTAGCTTATTTTATTCTAAGTAGGGCATAGTTTATAAAGCAAACCTAACATTAGTGCTTTATGTTTAAACAAAACATGTATAAAGTTAAAATATATTAAAAGCCAATCAAGGATTGTAGCATACTCAATGTAACAATAAGCATTAATAAAAATACCATATGTTTGGACCACCAACAAGTCTTTTATATTTAATGACTTTCATAATTAGTAAACATTAATGAGCATCCCCCCAATGGAAATTTTCTAACAGAGAACCGAGACTCGAGCGGGAGGGACTCCAAGAGCAGCAACGCACTTGTGACTTTTGAGTTGCAGGTGGCCATGGACGGCGGTAGTTGCTTACCATCAGATGACCCGTCTGCTCGTTTGGTCCCCTCATACCATAAAAAGAATTGTAAATGCAATTCAAACTGACTTAATTATAAGATATTTTTAGTATATGGCGTGTTTTGTGCCATAATGAGATTACATTGAACTTGGCGATATACATGAAAAACGGTAGTAACTAGTGTAACATTAGTCTCGTAGTAACTAGAGTGCTTACATTTAAAAAGTATAATCTTTTTTAAGTCTTGACCAAGATTTGAGTTTTAAAACAGAGGTTGGTTTAAAATAATAATTATACTCTCTCTCTCTCTCTACCTCTACAATGTTTTCTTTAAAATCTTAGGGCCAGGTACCTGCTTATACATAATACCTTAAAAGTCAATAATTTTTATTATTTTACACATTTAAAAAGGACGGATACGACACAGCAAAAATAATAAAATATTTACGTCTATTAAACTTAAAAAAAAACGCAATATTAAGTGCATTTACCTAAAATGTTAATTTCTATCAATAGAAGCGTATTAAACTAATGGTTAGATAAGCATCAGACTAAAATAATCGAACATCACATCTAAATGATGATGTTTTCTCAAATTCGCTTCTGAATCAAACGGCCACGAAAAACTTCTGGCCCGTTTCCTGTTTCTCTGTCTATAGTTTATTCCAAATAAGACAACATGTATGCCACTTCGGTGAGATCTTGTGGTACAGACTCGTGATAACACAAATAAAATTCCCTGGGCTCCGGTTCGCTGAAAACTCGCCTGAAAATTTTATTTTTAATTGGTAAGACAAAAAATATACTGAAACTCAATTTTAAGATTAAAATCCTTTCGGCCTTAAAACAAGTCGTCGCTAAAACGCTCGAGTTTACGCTCGAGTCGGCACTTGAGTCAGTTCTGAGCGCTGGCTTGAGCGTTTAGATAAAAAGCTCAATTAGGTATAGCGCCAAACTCGACGCTCGACTCGAGCTTTACAGTGAGTGTCTACAAAGTAGGTGAAGAATAAATCAGTTTATTAATAACTACTTATTGTGTATGCTATGTCCGCTACTTTGACCGCGTGGATTTTATTTGTCACAGAAAGTTGTATCGCTTCCCTCGGGTTATTTCGCTTATCTAGTATAACCGCAGCTAAGTATGAACTAAGAAAAGCATATATTTTAAATAAATACTCTTTTTTTTTAACTATAACTGCTCATTTTTCACACTTATAGTACGAGATCCGGCTGCAGAATCTTGCGGCCGAGTGCGCAACGGCAACCGTGATTTTTCAGTCAGAGTTTTTATATATATTGCCGTGAAGTGGACGAAATTTTATTTAATAAACAAGTAAACGATGTTTTCCCAAAAATCAATTAACAAAAAAATGATTAAATATACTAGCGGCCACATTTTAATAGGCAACCTGGTAGATATATAATCTCCTAATCATAAATTTGCGTAAAAACGGGGTTTTTAGCACATACTCGATGAGTGCATTGATTCTGCAGGTGGATCTTAGACTATTAGGTAAAACCACTGACTTCCATGTAATCTCGTCCATTCTCACTACCACTAATGATATCGCAATCGCTTTGTATTTCATGAGAAACATTGACATTAGGCAAAAAATAAATAAAATAATGATAACTTATAAGAAATATGCAAACATGCCGTTAACATCGTTGAGTCTCGAAGTGCATAGGCACGTCACGCGTCATAATGAAGAAAGAATACCCTCTAATTAAATAATTAATAATATGCCCTCCGTAAAAATGGTAATGCTTCGACGCTTGAGCGTGCAACTTGAGAGTCGAACCCGAAGTTTTAAAGGCTCGAGCGTTTAACGCTACTTCTCAAGGTCGAGGGAACGTTAATATGGAATAAAGCAAAATCCAGTAATGTCAAGCAAAAAGAAAAAGAGTCATGAGTCTTGAAACTTCCAATGTAAATTACAAGTACATTAAAACATAGATGGATGGATATTTGAAAAAAAAAAGATAATAATTGCTAAATTGATAATAATAAAAATAAGCATATTTACCCAACAACCCAAAATTGATACGGCGCCGTCATTTTCTTGCTAACACCACATTGAGTTAAAATATCTGGAGGCACTTGAAATAACATGCCATGCTCTTTCACGGCGACTAAGATTTTATTTAAAGGATTTGATGGAGCGTGGTTTTTTTTGAACCTGTAAAAATATGCCACATATTAAATATACATACAGCTGTGACTATATGTTATGTATATGATTAAAATGAAATGGTTATTAGTTCTCGTGAAATTAAGAATTATATAAAAATGTGAAAAACTTTATTACTAACTAATGATTTGGTAATAACTACACATGATGTCAATTCATTTTGCAGAATGAAATAATTAATATGAAATATGAAATAATGAAATAATGAAGTTTAATAAATCTAAACTGATCAAATCACTTTACTTGACAGACAAGTACCGCGTTAGCTTGTAAATTTTCTTCTCTAATTTCTCATTTGCTCTATGGTTTTATTTTAAGCTATTTACTACAAGACTAATTAGACTGATTGTACATGTAAATGATGTATATTTATGTAGGTATGATATATACGTGGGCATGCAAACTATACATATATTAAATCATGAATACCACTTAAAATACTAAAAATATTGTTAAATTTTCGCAGAAACGGAAAATTATGTATGGTATTTTAAACTGTTACGTTGATATATCTTCTTTACAATACTTACATACTTAGTAAAATGAAGTAATGTAGACTAAATAAATCGCTTAGATCTTTCAAAGTACGCAACGGATTTTAATGCGGTTTTCATCAATAGAGAGAGTGATTCAAGAGGAAGATTTATATGTATAATACCATGCATATTACAGTAGAGAAAATTCGAGAATTTCAGAGATTTGTAGTGTGATGTCGTAAAAAAACATGTTTCGTGAGCTTACATCGCAAACGCTAATAAACGCCATACATATTATAATTCATAGATCAAAATGATGTACTACAGTATTGTATATCTTAAAAAAATCTACAAAAAATCTGTCGATGTTATATGTCTGTCTCCTAAGGGCAACCCACAGTTACCATTTTTAAGTTTTACATATTATAAGAAAATAATGGGTTATTTACAAAGCCATATTTAGTAATACAGTATTATTCCTTATTCAATAAATTACGTTAGTTACGTGGTGCATTTTATGTACTGTATAAAATAAATTACTCGAGCTCCAAAACACCCTTACCTCGTAGATGGTAAGTACCTGTTAGATCATTATACGTATAAAAGAATCTCACCTGATGCTATGTTGTAGCAGTTCATGAATCCGTTTACAAGCAGATCGGAACGTTTTAATTATATATGAATAAAGTACGTTATTAGCCTGAATTTCTATATTTTTAACAGGAGCTATCAGAATTCCTTTTTCGGATTCCAACTCTACAAAATGGAATAATACATTTTCATCCCCAGCTGTGATTCTGTAAAAACGAAACTATTTAATTATTATTTTTCTATTTTAAAAAGACAACTGCACTAGGAATATATCCATATAAACTGTCACAGTCATGGCAAATATGTCACACTATTTCCGCCGTACGGCCGCCCACACCGTACGGCCGCCCGACTACATATCTCCGCTCTGCCGCGCCGCTTGCTTGCTCTCAGCACAAAATTATATAGAAAAATGAGACATCTCTCCTCTCCACTTGATTCATATCCACCGAAACTAAGCGGAGAGAATTGGAAATAACAAAATCTGATTTGTTTATTCAAAACACATACCTCTCGTCTCTGCTTTGGTGGATACCGGGCCTTAGAACAACAATTTGTAGATCACACAAAGTGTTGTCCTATATGGGGATCGAACCCACAACACTCAGCGTAGTAGTAAGCGGCGCGCGTGGCGATCGCTTAAACCACTACGCCATTCGTCACTACGCCATAAGTGATATGAAATCATAACATCATTTTACTCGAAAAATGTTTAAAAATGTATGGTATGTTTGGTAAGTAGGTAGGCTATCATCAACAGCCTTTAATAGTCCACTGCTTGACACAGGCCTCTCCTTAGAAAAGAGGTTTTGGCCTACCATACCACGATGGCCAGATGGGTTGGTATAGGATTTGTGTCAAGTTTTCCTTCTCTTTGCAGTGCTGTTTTCCTGCGTAGTTTATTCCGTCGGACTTACACGGACTTTCGGACTAGGTAGGCTATATGGGTAGTATAAATAATGGAAATAGATCCTCAGACTTCAGTTAAATTATAAATAATTCTTGCGAATCCTACCTTTGCACAGTAACATGGTTTATGTCATTCAATAATGACTTCCTGATGTCTGACATATCAACGTTACTGCTCGTTCTGCTCCCATCCTGAAACAGATGATTTCTATGATAGATGCCCGACTTATCCAGCTTTCGAGGTTTTCTGCTTTTGAAAAGACGAAATAAAGTACTGCAATCTGACTACCAAAAGATATTTAAATTAAATTTGAATAACGTTATCTTTAAAGTACTTATTTCCGATTAAAACCAGTCTTCCAAATTACTTAACTATTTTTTCACAGTCGCCAGAGTAATGTAACTAGATTTGATTGAAAATGCCTGATATAAACTACGGCACGAGATAGAATGTATCTTTGACACCAGAATAGATGCAAAATTAATAAACAAAACCTCGTGGACAATAGATTCCATGATGTGCACTGCACACCATACACCCTGTGATTTTAGTCATGTTTCTTAGATATAAAAATTAGATGTTCTCTTACCAGTCTCTCCCAATCGGACTCGGAACCAGACGAGTCACGACGATTCTTTTGTTCTCTGTCAGCCCGTCTACCTTGAACGCGGTCTTCACTTATTTCGCTGTAAATACCGTAAATATAATTACGAAATGATCATTATGTACGATAAATATAGGTTTGTAAGTATAGGGTTTACATTATAAATGCGAAGTGACTCAGTCAGTCACTCTGTCTTTTTTCGCCAAATAAAAACTCGAGGAAGTAAAATACTCGATTAATATTTTTAAATGTACGGAATTTCTAACGAAACGTGAGGGTCTCGTACGTTACTCGCGGCGACCAATTCAATCACCAAGTTATAGGCAAAGCATAGTATATTATTGCGTCAGACCTACAATGTTTCTGCCGTTATCTGGGTAACACACTACCCAACGTGCCTTTTTCCCCCAGGGATATACAGGTCAGGGTATTTTATAATGAATTATCAGCTTACAAAGAGAGAGCAACTATCAGTAACTATACCTTGTAGATCTTTTTAGATTCATGCATAGATTAAATAAAACAACTACTTCTATCACGCGTTATTTACATGTTTAAAAGAAATATTTTGTACTAAACATCGTTGTTTTACGATAGTTACATGAATTAAAAGCCAAGTTAGCTTTAATATATCGTATAGAAATTGAGAACACGTATGAATATTAGCTCTATATTGTTAACCGTATATTTAAAAAGTGACCATTAGAATTGTCTTAGAGTTTATTTTTTTCGCTTTAAAAGAAACAATTCAATCAAGCAATCAAGTTAAATTTATTCCTATTATTATCATGCGTTAACATTATCGTGTCTGCAGGTTCTATTACATTTAAAATTACATCTGTTATAATCTTATAATTAACATAATCGAGTATAATATGTATTGTTAATATAGACAGAGCAATTAGTATTTACCTGTTACTTTTCAAGCTATTCGAGTCTTCTGAATAACTTACATCCAAACTGGAGTGTCTATACTTCTGTGCATTGTTATAGGACTGAGTGTATAAACTGTGATGACTATCGTAGTTAGTAAGAGAGTTCAGTTCAGTTGTAATTGATCCCATGTTGATTTGATCAGAAGAATTGTGGCGACGCTTATCTATTTGCGGCTTCGACAGTCTGAGAGTTGAAGACTTTAAGGTGGAGTCCAGCTTTAATGCTACAAACAATATTACTACAATATAATGGCGTTATTGTTTTATATGTTAGTCCGTATGGTGACGGTTTAAGAATACGGAGTATCACCATCCCTATTGATCGCGTGGGTGTCGTATGAGCCGACTAAAAGAGCTAACTACTCAAGACAACAGCACTGCAAAGAGAAGGAAAACTTGAAAAAAACATATATTTATTGCGTGGTATAGTAGGCTAAAACCTCCTTTCTAAGGAGAGGCCCATGTCCAGCAACGGACTAGTAAAGGCTGTTGACGTGATGTGTGAGTGTGATTATTTTATACTAGCTGGGCACCCGCGACTTCGTTCGCGTGGAATTTTAAAAGCGCTGCCTAAATGGTGTATTACGGTACAAAATTGAGGCCTCGGGTTCGATTCAAAATATTATATGCAAAATATTATAGGGGTTTTCTGAGAGGAAAAATAGCCTAAGTTACTTCTTATATAGACAGCAAATTGGTAGTAAAATATTATCAAAATCGATTAAAGCCCTTTTGAAGATTACCCGGAACAGACAGACAGACAAAAACATTTAAACTGGTTTTAGGCATAGGTATCGTGCAAATAACCCTGTGAGCGTGAAAAAAAACCGTGTAAAACTCTGCAATTCATTTTTTTAATCTGTGGAAACCCGACAGGTCATCACCTCATCAGAGCCAAGAGTAAAGTTGGACATCGGACTCGAACCGACTAAAATCACACGGTATTCCGTCACAAATGTGTCTAATACAGGGGATCCGGCCGCCTGAGACCACACCGTGGAGTACAGGGAGCCTAATCCCCTTGCAGATCAGAGCATCTTGCAAGCGTCTCAGGCCTGCGTCTGCAAGGGTTTCCGAACTAATAATGGATAGACAGACACACTACCAAAGTGCTTTAATGTTACAAAACAACTTTAAATGACCACCGCAAGATTAACAATATGTACTTACAGCTATTATCCCTTACTTTTCTACCATACTTCGTCAAATATTCAGGAGTGGTCTCTACTTGCGGTTGTGTATTGGAACAGAACCATGACGCTAAGTATTTGTTTAGTCCAACATCATATAATAATTCTAGACAGCTCTCGCACTCTTCTACGTAAAATGGAGAAGGCGGTGTTACGCCGACGGCCTGTAAAATATTTACTTCAATTAAGGGTAATGTTGCTGATATAACGTTTCATAATAGTATCTACTTACCTTGTATAGCTACCGAAACAATATTAGTTATATCTATAATTAAATAGTAAATATATTTATACGTAAATTTATATATTTACATATACTTTTAACTTACATCTTCCGTGCAACCTCCAGCTTCCATTAGAGTAGTTAATATAAAATGCCCTTTACCGACCGTAAGGATAAACCAGCGGCCATCTGAAATTCTGCAGAAATTAAAACGTTAACTAAACGAAAACAAAAGGAATAATAACAATAACCATTGAGAGGTGACAAAATAGTCAGCCAATGTGATCTTGTCATGATCAATATTATTAGAATTTAGGTACAATATATTTTTAACAAGACCTTTATGAAGAATGTTTTTGTCACGAAAAAAATAGGCGCAAAAATAAAGTTGAGGGATATAAATATACAGCAATGCATTCTTTTTGGTCTGTTGTCAAATTCATTAAGCGAGGTGGTGATTTTATATAGCCAGAAAAGGCGGTTGAAAACGACCAGTAGATGACAAGTACTCTCCTTTCTCCAAGAAGACGAAAGCGCGATGTGTTTCACGCGAGTATACGAATAAAAACTTTCGTCCCTTTATTCGAAGATAAATTTTCTATGTTATAGAGCAACGTTACTTACTTATATTCACATCCGGTGCTTTTATTCTGGTTTCTATGTTCATAAATAAATACTTCTTTCCACATAACTAGCTTTTCTATTTCTTTTTCGGCACTTAGTTTGAGTACACCGTTCAATTTCAAGTATGCATTAATCTCTTTGAAATCTTCATCCTGCAGATGGGAACTAAGCAGATGTCCAGAATAATATAAGCACGATCCCATGACAGTGTACAATCTTTGATAATTTTCCACATCGTCAGTCTGATGATGAAAACAATTTATGAATTAGGTACTTCAGTCTGGTGTATGTAGTATATACTATAAAACATATTGCACAAAACGTGATTGTATAATATTTTTATTTACATTGACAAAGGGATTATTATGGAGATATTATATATCTATACATAATTAAAAAGCTACTATGTAAGCTGCTAACAGCTATGCTTTCATATGTGACTAAAACTTTTTTTAATCATTTTCATAGACTTAAATATATTTACCCATTCTCTATAGTCAGCTGCTTCCAACTCAGTAACAGCGTCATCAATTTGCACCTTCACCTCCAGTGGCAAAATGACTGAATGAGCCGCTAACAAATCCTCAAAAATGTACCCCGGTTTCTTACTGCCACTGTCCTTACTAGCTTTATTGAATATCGATGTAACGAAAATACGAGTAAACAAGCTATCTAATTTTTCTACATTGTTTGGCTTTGTAAAACAGGATTTTATTGACCCATATAAAAATTCTAGAAGTCTTACGACATCAGCCATTATTTTTTTAGCTGCAAATAAGTCCACTTCTTTGTTTGGGAAAGCAATCAATAGTAAATCGTTGTGATGGGAAGTGTAAGTGACATTTATAAGGGTACTATTATGCAGCACAGTGGAGCTTGTTGGTTCACTAGTCCCCAAAGACTTCAGGGCAAGATGATTTAATGTTACATATGCTCCTCTAGTATTGTATAAAAAGTTTTGATTAAAAGGTCTTGGAAAACAGTAAAGGACTCCTTTATCATCATTGCTATTATATTCTATGTCATTACAACATATGTATAAGACTGAGCATGATGAATCTTTTAGTAATATTGTCAATAAAGTCTCAGGAACATTATTAGTCTTTAATAGTCTTTCGACATCTACATTATCTTCTTCTGTAGGTATTTCAAAGGTTAATTTTGGGTGATTAGGGTCTTCAATAACTCGTTGTAGAATACTGTTTAAGTTGTGAGAGGTGACCACTATGCCATTGATTTTATTCAAATAATATCCCTTTTTTATTTTCTGCACATATATAGGTCTAGCCTCAGTTAAAAAATCAGAAACCATTAATGTTTTGCCATCTGGGTGTGTTTCTAAACTTATGCCAAACAATTTTTCAACTTGGCAATTTTTTTCGCTGTTAAATATCATGTTTTTGCTGACCTGGAGAAAAAAAACGACATAACAATAGCCATTTCTTCTAACCGTAACGATGTAAGGATGAAACTCAGCGGGTCATATTACGGCAATGTAAATCTTTATATAGTAACTATAACAGCTTATTGTATAATCTTTATTGTAAGCAGGACGTAAATGATTTGTAAAAAAAAATAGTAACAAGTTGTAAAATTAATTGTATTACTAAATCGTTATATACATTATTTAAAACACCTTAATGACGTTTAAAGATTTTTCATAATTACTTAACTTTCATACGTATTTTATATTTATCAATACAGCGCCGGGTCCAGAAAAAAATTAGTGAAAAAAATTAAATTATTTTATTTTACCCTAATACAAGTGAATTCTATTCCATTAACATTTTGTAACCGTAGTTACTCGTAGTTCCGAACCAGTTGTTTCTGAGATTAGCGCATGTGGTACGTACGCGTGAGGTAAACGTGGGTAATTTGAATATATCTATTCCCTGAAGTTTCAGTATAAATAAATGCGAATCACTATTAGTGATATAACTGTGATTTTTCCTGTTAGGCATCTATGTACAGAATAGGTACCTACGTTTTATTACAAAAATTAAAGTAGAATAGTGAAATAGGGTTTGAAGGATGAATAAGATAATCTAAGCAGACGAAGTTGCGAGCACTAAGTGATACCTGTATAAAGGTTACAAGTAAAATAAGACGAACTAAGTTTTTGGCCAGTTGGCAATTGACCACAGTCACCAAACATTTTATTGCATCATCCGAAATTTTCTAAGTTATTTATACTAGCTTTGCATGTTGGTCATAATGTAGCTTTCCATTATTGAAAGAATTTTGAAAATCGTTTTAGAGGTTTAGGCGTGAAAGCGTAACAAACAAACAAACTTACACATTTATAATTATAATATAGTGTTTTACTTTTTTAATACTACTGTTTTAATTTAATAAATCAAAAAAATAGTTTCTGTTTCACACACAGCTTCTTTGTTTGCAAAAATAAATGCGGGTTAATGTGTACATTACATAGCTGCATTAGGGTGCCTGTAATTTTACCTGCATATTATAATATCTATTGACAGGTTTGAATCAAATAGAAATAGTCGTGTATTGTAAACGACACCACTGCACTACACTACAACTGTCGCAGGGGACTTTATAAACATACATGAAACAAAGAATAACTAGACTCAGAACAACAATTGTGGATCCCAAAAAGTGTTGTCTTATGCGGGAATCGAACTCACAACACTCAGCAGTAGGAAGCTGCGAGGTGACCGCTTAAACCATTATGCCATTCGTGCAGTCGAGGGTCGTCTGTGATGTCATGTACAATTATTTTTTTTGGTAATGACACCACTGCTGACTAGTGATGTATAACGTGAAAAAAAAAAAACAATTCGTTGTGTTAAGTTTTAATGATAATGTTAAAATTGGGCTAGTTTACAAGGGTTTCGTAAAACATAATAATTGTAAATATTACAACAAAAAAACTAAATTAATTTATAAAACTTGATCCGATATAATGCAATAACTATTTATTTTCTTTTTACAGTATCTGTTTCACTTTATCTGCTATATTTAAAGCACGTTCTGAATAAACCTTTTAAGATGGTCATGATCGTGATCTGACAAACGAAAAATAATCTAGTTCAAAGTTCATTACGTTGGTGTCATAACCAAAAAAATAATGTAAACGACAAGTTGTGGTTGACAATACACGGACATAGTAGACAGCTCAACTTAAACTAGATTAATATGGGGTACCTAATACCTGAATAACAATATGTTTGTCATCATTAGCTGGATTTCTGTTTGCATAAGCATTTGATGATAACATGCCATCATAATCTCTTTTGACACCAAAGTCAGCATTTTTTTGTTTATGTGCTTTTAAAACCTTAAATATCCTCCCTGTAAACCAAAAAAATATATTCAAATTGCATAGTCTTTATTTTACATTAACACCCTTACTAAACATATAAATGCCTTTTTAACATAACATTAATAGTGCAGCATGCTCGAATAGCAGTCATGAGATAGTCAGTACAATATATTATTGCAGTGAGGTACTGACTGGTCACATATTTAGTCTTGGTTCACATATTTCATACATTTTTGCAGTAACTCATGCATCACTGAAAAACAGGGATCATCTTTATAACTCTTCATCCCAACATGGCTCAGGCAGTTGTATTTCTTGATTTTGTTGTTCCTGATTTTTGACTTCCGGTTCAGATGGCTTGATTTCATCCTGATTTGGTTCCTGAACTTGTTCCTTAACAGGGCTTCCATTATTCAAATTCACTTCTTGCTTGACTTCACTGTTTATCTCACTTTCAGCAGAAGCCTCCTCTTTAAATGTTCCTTCTATAACATTGTTAGGCTGGGACACCTCTTGTGATTGTGGATTCGTGATTTTGAAAAAAACATTTCTGAAACCAAGAAGGGCTTTAAACTTGCTAACCTTAAGGGCCTCAAAGGAGTATCGGTCTATGGAAAATGTTACTACTCTGCCTCCTTGAAATTCTCTTTCATTTAGGACTATCCACTCTCCAGTATTTAGTCCTTTATTTTGTATCTGCAGTAGTTTTAGAGCTTTTTCTACAGTGTCAGCTTCTTGGCCAGGCAAAAAAGTAGTAGCATTCAATGTTCTATTTTTTAATTTTAAAAAGAGTTTTGCTTCTGGCCAGGGTTTGATTTTCTCAATTGTCTTCACAAGCCATTCCTGGCTGTCATGATTTTCACATAAAACTAGTATAAAACCTTTTTTATTGAAAAATCCACAAAATCTAGGGCCTTTGCCTGCTTCACCTTTAGCAATTTCTAGGAGAAGGGCTTCATGTACCATATTAATTTCTTCATCTGACATGAGCTGAGTGTTGTGGATTTCAACGAGTGACACAAGTTTGGATTTAGGCTTGTCTTGGTTTTCTGATTCAGAAGATTTAGAAATCTTTTGAGTTTGAACATTGACTGGGTTAGGAGCATTATTAGCCTGATCTTTCGTTTCTATATTTTTAGTTTTTTTAATCTTTTTAGGTATGGTAAATTGAAGATGGTTTTGAATATTCCGTTTCTGCGCAGTGCTCTTCAGCTGTCCACTATTTTGTAGCTCTAACATTTTTTCAATCTTGCCTCGTGATGCTACTGCAAGAGCTTCTTTAGGAGGCATTTGTTCTTTCACAAGATTCCAGAATCTTTTCCTTCCTGCGCCAGATAGTAATGTGTATTCAGGAAGGTTCTTGAATGAATTATACTTCTTATATATGTTGAAGGCCATCTGGCAATAATAATAAGGTAATTATATAAGGGTAATAAAATAAAGTTCACTAATACATGCATTTGAAAAAAAATAATGCAAAAATAGCTCTGAATCTCTTGTTCTTTTGGCAGAATGTAAACATACCTCCTGCACAAATTCAGCTCCTGTATATTCTTAAGAGCTATAGGTGCTGTTCTGTGCCATAACACATTAAGAAATGTCACAGAACGTAAGAGAATACACAAATACACACCTAACAGAAATACTCTTAAATATTAAAAAGTTTGACAGTTATAACAGCATTTATTTTAATGGAAAAATTTAAAATTATTTGTATAATTGAGCTTTATTGTGTAAACAAATTCTAGTGGAGTACAATAACAAAATTAAATAAATGCTTATATTATTCTAGATGTAAAATAAAGCAATGTCACTACCCAAAAATGATGTTTTTTTAGTTTCGTGTTATTTATATTTAAATAATATGATGAGAACTTTAGCTCTGAAATAAGTAATCGATTTTTATGAGTTACATCAATTTTATTTCAATATTTAGGCACCCAGTTGACCCATCCAAGCATGCCAAAAAGTAGAAACTATGTATATCTTAATAAAAGAGTTACATAAAATCAAAGTTGATGGTATTAAAGATAGGTATATTGTTTTGACAATTGAAAACCTGCTATAATATTAGTAAAGAAAGAAACTATTTAGTATTTTGTTTAAAGTAAATATTATTACCTTTAGTGGATTTTCTAGTTGATGATCTTTTGAAATTGTTTCTTAGTTTAAAGGTTTCACAATTTTCTAATAAAGGTGTTTTACTATTGTCTATGTTTTCATTAACAGACACTGTTTTAATGTACACTAATTCACCATCCTCTGCAACATCAGAATCCCATTCAGGCACAGAACTGAAAGAACATTTAGAATTAACTTATATTCTAGCATGAAAAATCTTGCATAAATAAAGGAGAATCATTTGTATTTAAAGCTAGTTAATAAATACAACACCTTTCAGAATCTGAATATTTTGAGCCACCAGTAGAAATAGTCCAATCGTTATCGGAGTCACAAGGACTATCGTAATTTAGTTTACTTTCATAGTTATTCATTTTAACATAGTAAAACCAAAAATATTTATACTGATGCAACAACTAATTTATAAAGTTATGAAGCAGCTCACCATTAGCAAGCTTGTTTAGCAGAAAATGCCGCCACAAATATCTAATTAGGCTCAATAGTTCCTACAATGGACCTAGGTGTTTATTAGGTATCTTTTTATGCGTACAACCAAACTATATGTACATAATATAACTAAATAACTAGAATAGAAATATTTTATACTTCGGTGACGCCGACGCGGAGATAAACGAGGAGGGCAGGGCTGCCAACCTCAGAACTTTTTGACTTTTTCGGTATGTAAATGACTAAAATTATTTTATTTTGCTTAAAAACATGATACATTTATAAAGCATTTATAAATAAATAAATAAAACATTATTATTATATCATTACATTATTGCAAACTCACAAGCGTGCAAGCATAGTTAAATGGCTCAGCTTAGTCGATTTAATTACAATATCGATTTACACTACTAATTTAAAAACAATAAGAATAATATCGCTTTATTGTACACCAGGTATAAATACACAATGATCAACTTAAGCTAGGTTAGGTAAAGATTCATAAATTTTTCCTTAAAAGAAGGAACAACTTCATGAAGAAGCTCCTACTACTGTAAAGATTAGTCATATTTTCTTTAAAATTAATTTAAGTTGAAAATAAACAGATAACTAATTAAAACTAATTATTATTAATGAATTCTCACCGATTTTACTCACCGCTTCTGAGGTGATCTTTTGACCACTAACTTATGTCCAACACAACAACACTCTTGCTGTTCTTACTGGCGATAGTAACATCACGGTTATGTTATCTATTAGTGTTGTGACTCGGCCCTGTACTTGATATAATTACCCAAAGTAACGCGGTACGTAAACACACGATAGGCCTGTCCGCCTACAGTATTTTAATTTCATCTAACTTGAGTTTCTTCCATAAAAAATCAACACCTTATAAACTTCAATACCTACCTACCACTGCAAACGTTACCATCTCATGGCGTGTGGCAGAACCTATAGCAATCAAAACCCTCTAACTATCTACTACAAAATCTTACTCTCAAAAGTAAATTCTAATGTAAATCTAACTAAACTTGGTGTTTTCAAACTCACAGTAAATACCCTTTATTACAAGTAAATAAAAATCTACAAATGCAGTACTATCTTAATAGGTGGCAGTCGGATAATTAATCGTTATTAACTGCATTTTATGAGTAGTTAACCAAACATTTGGATAAATAACTGTAGCTAACGGGTTTTTTACAACTATGACGTGGAGTCGCAGTGATTCGTTTCTGTCACAAACTTTGAGACTTTTTAAGATAATAATTTAATTTAAGGTTAAAAATGCTACTTTACAGCAATATGCCTAATAAAATTATTCCAAATGAAATTCTACTAAATAAACGTTGTTCTGAATAAACCTTATGCTATACGAAATCATGCGACATCCACTTCACTCTACCAAAAGTAATTATGGTAAAGAAAATTATGTAATCTTAAAAGTATGCCATTGTGAATTCGGACATATTAACATTTGGACAAACAATAATGATACTAAATAATTTTTATGCCTTAAAAATATTCGTTTAAAGAAGATTCTGCCAAGTCTGTTATTCGAAATAAATCACGTTGTATATCGAGTGTATACCTACCTAACTCGAGGCGCGTAGGTGAGGCTTATTGATGACATTACCGTGGTAACATACGTATTCTTTTCGCTAGTCAAATTTGAATTAAGTCATAGTTTGAATTTGTGGTTTCTGATTATGACTTAATAATTTAAATAACAGTGCAGTTTTATTTAAATATAGGATATTGAAATACGTACGCATGATTTAAGTTTACATTCTGAGAAATTATTTTAAATTACACAAATAAAATGTCGATTCTATTGAAACAAAAAAATACATATTTAAAAATTGTGAAAAGTCATATCTGCCTATTTTAAATTTAGATTTTATTAAAGAGTTCATATTTTTTAATTTCATTGTGTATGTTAAAACCCTGGAGGAGAGCAGAGGATGTTTACTTGTTTGACAATTCAAAACTTCGTCAAGTAGTCGATTAGTAAGGTTCCAACACCCCGTCATATCGATTTAAATAGGAATCTGTGAGTTGACAGGATGTTAAAAAAAAAAACTAAAAATAACTATTCAATTAAATATATCTATTGATAGAACGCCTAAAATTACTTCAATAAAGAAAAAATAATTACTATTTTATTAAATTTTCTTGTTCAAAACTATATTTCATCCGTGTTGGACTTATTGGTGTTTCTAATCACGTAACTTGATTAGAAACACCAATAAGAAAATTTGTTGTGTCATAATCGTAATAATCAATCAGCTGTCTTGCTTATCTTGTCTTTAATTGGCGCGAAAAGAGAAATAATATCTGGTACAGATTAGTGATGAATTTTTGGCAAAATATTCAAGTTCTTTCTTCACTGTGTTCTTCTGAATACAGAAATGTTTAAAAGGAGTTGTAAAGAAATAGTTTTTTATTCTTGCAAAATTCTAGTAGCGATAAACCAAATATTTTTGGAAAGACTTCCTTAGAACTTATATTATATATTTTTTTTACCACATTCACACCACGTCATCTAGTCCCAAACTAAGCAGAGCTTGTACTAGGGGTACTAGACAACTGATAAATATATATATATATATATATATATATATATATATACTTTTTTTTTTGTAAATACATACATATTATACATAGAAACACCCAGACCATTTCAAATGACTGACTGCACGGATGGCGTAGTGGTTTAAGCGGTCACCACGCCGCTTCCTACTACGCCGAGTGTTGTGGGTTCAAACCCCACATGGGACGACACTTTGTGTGATCCACAAATTGTTGTTCTGAGTCTGGGTGTTCTTTGTGTCCGTTTCATGTATGTTTGTAAAGTCCCCCGCGACACAGGACTTATTCCTAATGCGGGAGTTGTCTTTTTTAAAAACAAACAAACAAATATAAATGTTCATGGACACCAATGTTTGACTTGAGCGGGAATCGAACCCGCGACCTTTGGAATAGCAGTGCGTTACACGAACTACTACGCCATCCGGTCGTCTTGTATATTATAATTTATGAAAATATCGTTATTTAACGATACTTATAGTGTGAATTTGGTAACGTTAAGAAGCCCTGATATGAGCACTTCCATACTTAAAGTGTGCTCCGCTTAAGTATTACGCCCCTCGCCGACGTCGACTCCAGTTCAGGTAGTTAATTTTTTGCGGCTTGGTTAGAAGGGCCTATGGGTTGGGACTAATCCCACCCACACGCCCACCACTGTAACTCCTGTACACCAGAATCCACAGCAGTGACCCACGAACACACCGAGTTATGACACTCGGGAAGTCCCAGGAAGAAATTAAACTGTCTTGGAACCCGCAACGAAATTAATCAGAAGAAAATTGGAGAAGTTGGATATACAGTAAATCCACTTCCCTCCTTAGCAAAGCGGGAGACAAAATGAAGTAAAATGGGCATACACCCTTTTATACAGAGAAGCACCACGGCCACAAATATTACGGGTCCTACGTGAGCTATATTTGATTTCTATAATATGTATGGTAAAATCGCCTAAACGCACGGAAATCAAACCTAGTTGACACAAGATCCCCATAGTATAACGCCCCAGATGTCACCTGCAAGCTATTCAGCATTATATTACGTTCATTATACCAAAGACGACATTCCCAGAGGATATGATGAGCAGACTGTTCATAGTGAGAGTTAGGTGTTGAGTATTGACACAATGGTGACTCGACTAATTTAAATGAATAAAGCTTGCTCTTAAAGTTACCGTAACGAGTCATTCGTAAGAAACTGGGCCTATGGGTTGAACAACAACTTGAAAATTGGCAAATAATTCACAGGCCAACAAAATTTGACAAAGTTTCTGTCTCAGAAACCAGAGTATTTTTTCCCAAAATCGGAATTCGCTAAAAAAACGCTATTTTTGCCCATTTTTGAGGTTATGTAACCCTTCAAATTTTATTATGCCTAAAAAAGTAGGAAGGGTATCTTAAAGTCTTTAGCTTTCAAATGACGTTGCTCAAATATCTTTTATTTTCGCTGAGATAGTAGTGAATAGGCTTTGCTTAGTTTGAAGGCTTTTAGTTCAGTTAAAGGTTTGTTTAGCTGAACTCGGGGTTTGCAGTATTTGATTGGTTTTGAGAAGAAAAAGAAAAGATATTTAAGCAAATTCAACATTATTTGAAAGCTGAAGACTTGAACTTTAAGATAACTTTAAGGTACTTTTTTCGGCATAATAAAATTTGAAGAGTTACATTACCTCAAAAATTGGCAAAAATTTTCGTTTTTTGCACTTTTAGGTTAGAATATCTCAAAAACCTGACGTGATAGAGCAATTCTGCGGCCGGATTTGGATTCAGCGCACCAAAATCTTACTAAAAAGTATACTTTGGTTCCTGGGTAAAAATTTTGTTGACCTGTGTTATGTTTAAAAAATGAATTCAACTTTTACCACGAATAACTTTTGACCGAGTTGATTCATCAAATAATGACATCAGACATTTTGTAGAGCGTTCAATTCTCTACAAAAATAGTCTACATCACCTAAAGGTTGGATGGTAGAGAATTTCCAGGGCATTAAATTCGCCGATGTACACAAGTGCATAAAGTCGTAAATATGAGGTGATGAATACCTTATACGAAAGCCAAAAGTACATTGATCAGTGTCCAGGGTAGTATAATAACAGTTCGCGTTGCGCCTGTGTGCATGTAAAATATTAATGTGGGTGTTCGATCTCGAGTTCTCACGCTTGGGGACTACATTCTTAATATTAGGTGGTTTCAATGTGAGTACAGTACTAAATAATGCCCGGGCCATGCTTCGTTATATGTGTTTTTCGTTTTTCGTCTTATTTGGGCGCATACGATGATACGATGAAGTATGAATGGCAATGGACTACTTACATTAAATTTTAATTCCATATAAATATACAAAGTGTAAGGGACGTCGTAACGAATACTGAAATAGTGAATAATTCTGCGTCGAAAATCATTTTAATTTTCTGAAGGCAAATTAAACGTTTCATGCTATCAGCTGTCAAACGTTAAGGCCTGCAGGTATCGCATAAAAGTAATAACTACATTTGTCATTTGTCACAAACAGTCTACGCACACACTAAGACAAGTGTGCGGCCGGGGGGACCGCTTCGGTTGTTGATTAATTACATGCAGTTTTTGACCGTATGCGGTATTTATTAAATTGTTTTTGGTCAAATATTCTGTTTACTCATTATGATATCATTTTTAACCCAAAAATAAAAAATTAAAAAATAAATGTATTTTCCGGCATAAAATTCCATTGATTTTTAACTTAGAATAATGGTCTGAATACACTATTTCAGTATTCGTTACGACGACGTCCCTTAGACCCTGTATATTCCTTCGAATTCATTATTTTAAATACACTTATATTTCAGACTATTTTTGAAAAGTTACCAACGCCCGGTTTTTTTCAATATTCTCAAAAGTAAAAGAACTAACTAAAGTAAAAGATTTCCTATGATGATAGTTCTAGATTCATAGTCAAACCTAACCTATTAGTTTTATTTTTATGGTATAAGGCAAACAAGCAGAAGGGAAGTGTGGACATAGACACCTGCAACTCAAAAGTCACAAGTGCGTTGCTGTCTTTGAGTCCCTTACCCTGGAGTTAGGGAAAGAGGGAGTCTGGTTACCCCACTCTCTCGGTGAACAGTAACGAAAGAATAGCTTAACGCCGGTTTTCCGTGAGGCCGTGGTATCACTCCGGTCGAGCCGGCCGAAGCATAGTTCTTCCACGGTAAACAATAGTCCAACCAATAGCCTCCAGGAAAATGTTCACATCAAAAATAGTTTCATTGATATATCGCTAATGTAAAACTCTCAGAGGATTGGGAGTAACAAGATTAATAAGAATAACAGAGGAGAGAAAATGCCACTTTGAGGTACTTCACATCCATGATCACCCTAAATTGATGAGGATCAATCAGCGCTGACATACATAGACCGTTAAAGCCCTCTAAGACATGACGACAAGCATTCCAGTGCATCAGGTGTAATCATCTAGCTAGTCAGCTAATCAGCTAGACAAAAGAATATCGGGACAGATGATGCGGAATGCCTTCTAGAAACTAACTAAAGCTACCGACTTGCGGTAACTTTATTGATGTTGATGTTTGCGTTATGAATACCAAAAAGTATACAAACAAGTCACAGAGTAATTGACATAACAGTGTTGGTCATAAACTAAAATAAACATATTACGCTTAAAAGTCTAGTATTGTGAATATTATGGCATAAAACTATACACGTATGGCTCGAAAATTTATACATCGATTATGATTTAATTCGAGATCCTAAAAAATTAAAAAAACTTTCAGCTTGAATTTCCCTACAATAAATTTGGACAAGTTAATTTTCTTAGTAACCGATGGATGACAGCGACGATGAAACATCCAGCAATAGTGACGGTCTAGATAATGCTTCCAGTTACTCTATTGAAGATAAAGAATATGACAGACGTGGTTATTCCGGACACCTTAATCTCCGCCGACGGCTGTTTACATCTACAAGTCAGACAGTTGAAGCGGATGAGGGATCATCCCCTCTAGTTTCACGCGCCACAGCAACGAGTGCGCTAAAGAAAGTCGGAGCAAACTCAAAGTTTGAAAGTGTTCGAGCTAAAAATGTAGTGTCTACTGAACCTTTCTGCCATGTGAAATTGGTAGGTAATGTTCACTATATATACAAAGTGTGTAATATTTGGTAGGCTTGTTTTTCTTCTTTTATTTTATTATTTGTATGGTGTAAAAGAATCTCGAGTCGTATTGAACTTACATTTCTAATACGAATATGCAGGAACATACAAATCGAATGTTCACAAGAAATCAGTAAATGAACAAAAAGTCTGGTTTGAAAACGACACCTTTTTTCTGTGGAAACCCCCTCGGATCGTCACCTCAAACCGCCGTCGGGGCCAAAGGGTTAAGTGTTTGTGTGACTAAAACTACAGTGTTCCGTCGTCAGCTACTTTGCCGGTACCTCAGTGAAAATGCTTTTACTCGGTGAAATCGCGGCATAGCTTTCCATTGACGTCCGTGACAAAGAAGTTCAACTTATGATTGACCCCGACTCCACCTGGTACAAGTCTGTCCTACCCGTAGAGTGTTTATATAGATCCGGAGGCGCCTAGGGAGAGCAGCGTCCGCCCGCTGTAACAAATCGTAGGCTGTAACAAATCGTAGGCTGTAACAAATCGTAGGCTGTAACAAGCCGAAGTCGAGGAGGCGAGGATGGCTGCTTGCGAATTCTTACGCAAGGTAGTGGCTTCTCGAGACGTTGCAGTCTCAAAAGTAGTTCTAGATTAGATACAGAATTATTTACATATACATATACAGATTAAATACAGAACAAAATAGATACAGAAATCCCTCTGAATCAGTCCCCCTATTTTTTTTTGAAGAGGAAGGGGGGGGGGGGTCCCCCATACGGAAGGGGTTCCGTATGGGGGAACCCCCCCCCCCTTCCTCTCTAAGGGGTCCCTCTTGTTTTTTTTCACTTATTATTAATTTTAATCCATAAAATTAGAAAAATTTACTCAGAATTAAAAATTAAACAATCGAAAATTGGGGCCTCCACAACTTTTCCTTAACGGGGGTAGGACCCCGCCCCCTTTCGTCAACAGAAAATCGTACCGAAATTGCTAATTAACATAAAATTTGTGTATAAATGTATGTGCTGAAGGATGTTAAAAAGTGGATATTAATTTTAATAACCATATGATACGTTTTGCTGAAAAAAAATTGGAAAACATGAGTAGTGTGAAGTCAAAGCTTCCCCATTTTCGCTTTTTGTGATCTTGATATACGTAATAATATTCGGGCTCGCCAATCTTAGCGGTAAGACATTATAGAGGCTTGGTTTGAGATGCAGCATGGCAGCCTCTCCTGTTGGCTAACACAGTTGGCGACCGACGAATGAGGCTATTTAGATAAGTACCTACCTGAAAAGCAACGAAAGAATTACTCAACACCGGTTTTCTGTCAGGCCGTGGAATCAAATCACTTACTGCCATCGAATCTAATCACTCACTGCCATCGAACTGGCCATAAGTACCAAAGCAATGCTCACCCACGGTTGAACTTAAGTAACATTGAAGATCGTGTCTAAACAAATATTTAGATTTAATGGGACAACATTTTTTTTTCCAATTTTTTCTCGGCCACAGATAAGATTTCAAAAGACTGTTTTTAAACATATTTGATTTAATAAGATTACATTGTTCTGTTTCCAAGAAAGTATTAAAACAAACACTAATTAATACATATCTTGTATGCCTAATTATGAAAATTTCAGGATTCTATCATCCAACTGAAAGACAGTACTAAAAAACTGCTATGTCTTTTAGACGACATTCAAATAAAATCGAAACTCAAACAGCCACCTACGGAAAACAATTGGAGGACAGCGGGATTGATTAATCCCATTCCATCAAGCATCGATGTGAGTATGATTGGTTTCTATTAAGTACCATTGTAATGTTACAAAACAGATCCTAAACACAATTGGAATATTGCATTCTTCAAATAAATGTCACCACATCACATCACATCAACAGCCTTTAATAGTCCACTGCTGGACATAGGCCTCTCCTTAGAAAGAAGGTTTAAAAAAATGTCACCACTGAAAGTAATTTTTAGACAAGTGATAGAAACAGTATCTTTTGTCAATAAAAAATATATATACTTACCTACCTTTTGTTTTGATTCTGTACTGCGGTCTCTAAAAATTTCATGATAATTGGTTATGTGCAGTGGTGGATCTGCCTAAGGGCTTATTGGGTTGCAGCCTAGGGCCCCGTGGATTTAAGGGCATACAGTCTCACATTAGGGCACTTCATAAAACAAAAACGGTGGGGTTTCACAGGAAGCGTGGAGGTGCAGCACCCACCCGATCGCTCATTAGAGTGGGGTACAGAGATCGATGTCAGCCGGCATATCAAGTACCTCGGCCTCACCTTGGTGTATGGCTACTCTAGAGAGGGTGCTGCTTAATAGAATTGACAGCACCCTCAAAGACGATGAACTTTCTTGAAACACCCCGCAGCCACGTGGGTGTCTGGACGGGAGGTTCTAGTCGATCGAATCGAACGAGATCTGTCCCCGCCAGCAATCATTACTACTATGCTGGCTGGTGAGGAAGGCTGGGGGGCAATGGTCTCTTTCCGTGAAACTGTAACTCTACAGAAAAATATTGCTGAACGGGATCGGAAGACAATTGATACAAAGCATAGGGGACATCGGCGGCGATATCAGTCGTCAACAGTGCCGCGGGCCACAAGAGAGTGGGTACCCCTGGTAGTAGAATAATTGCTGCGGTAGGGAATAGGATGGCGGCCTGATCGCGTCAAATCTCATATCACATGGTCCGGGTCTCCCCAGAGTAGGATGCTTAATCCGTAATTATACATATATTACCAGCTGACCAGCGCAACTTCAACTGCTTTTCTCAGAAGTTCGTGCTCGCAACATTTTTCATTGATACTCGACTCCTATTGGTTGTAGAATGATATTATATACCCTTTATCCTTCCTCGATAAAAGGGCTATCTAACTATGCCGTGACTAATGAAAATAGAGATTCATTTTTATATATAAATTTATATTATGGAAGGCGATAGTTTAAAAATAACTGTATAGACACGGGAATTAAACAACAGTATAAACCTTGTCGAAACGTAAGGCAATTCAAAGATATATTGTTACGTTGTAACAAAGTAAATACACAAACTTACAAAATAAATAATTAAAGAAAAAAAAAATCATTACACACAGACAAACAAAGTAATAGTTATTACGATCGAATGGAAACCGCGCGCATTAACTAGTGATAACATCATAATGACCATATAAGGTAATCGTCGGTATCGGGAGCCAAATTGTTCTGGAAAACGAGCGCCACAGTGTGGGTATTTAGAAATATCGAGAAGTGACAGTAGCTGACAACGGGCCGGCTGCCGGTGAATGATTCCTTCTCGCTCGGTTGCACCGTTCTTTCCATATCTCTGTCTCGTCGCATACGAACATTCCAGAAAGTACGCATTGTCGCCTAGAGGCGGAAATGGGCCGTCCCGATACAGAGGTATAAAAGCGAATCCGCGGAGGAAAGATGCATTCCGACGCCTGAGAGTTAATTGTTTGCGATTCGTATACGTGATTGTTGTCCACAGTTTTAAAACGTTGTTCAATCAGTGCTATTCTAAAATAATAAATATAAAAGAAGAAAAATTAAAAGCGGATTTAATTATTTGTCATCTCCCTTGGAACCTGGGGGTTCTCCGTACGGCTTAAGTTCTCCGTACGGTCTGCAAGTTCTCCGTGCGGCTTACATTTCTCGAACGGCTTACGTTCTCCCTACGGCTTGGGTTCTCCGTACGGCTTAAGTTCTCCGTACGGTCTGCAAGTTCTCCGTACGGCTTTGGTTCTCCATACGGCTTAGGTTCTCCGTGCGGCTTACATTTCCCTAACGGCTTACGTTCTTCGCGCGGCCTACGACAACGTTCTGCAAGATCTCCGTGCGGCTTGCAATCCCCGCACGTCTTGGCTTCGGTCTGACTGCGGAACACCACGCGACACGGTCTGCCGTCGCGAGCCTACCCGGATCACCGGGTAACACAGGACACCTTCGAGTTCCCCCGAAGTCTGGGGAAGTTCCTCGCCAGAAGACCCTCCCCGCGTTACGAAAGCCGATGAAGTGAAGATTTGTAATTGTCTATCTGTTTTCTTGACTGCTTTTATTGTGATCATCATAGCTGTAAATCCTCCATAGTTTGTAATAAATAAATAACCTGATAAGTCCCCAGAGCACATAGGTTCAACCAGAAAGCTTCCTGTGCAAGAAGTCACACCCTGAGACTTTAAAAAAATATTATATTATAAATAATTGAATTTGGTTTTTTCCTTCTTTTTTTCTTTTGTAATTTTTTTATTTTACAAGTACAATCGTAATAGAGTATTTGTGTTTTATTTGTGCCCGCCGAAAGGCGGCCGGAACAATATAATACCTATTACGTCATTGTGTTCATTCCGAATATAAACATCATTACATTTTTTTTTATCTGTGCGGACATCCCCTTGGATACCACCCACCACTGGTTATGTCGGACATGAATCGACCAAAAGCCATACCAGTACCAGTACCAGTAGCCGGCGAACCAGGTGTATCCTAGGAAGGAAATCCCTGGAACCCTGACGGACCCCGGGTCATCTACGGCTTGCCACCCCCTTGTGTATGGGAACCACTGTGTTCCCCTTCTACAACCTAAAGGGCGCGCGCGCCCCAACTAGCTAGGAGAACGGAGGTCATTTTGCGACCTCCGGCGCCTGAGTCTCCTGCAGTACCTGGCCCGTTCCTGGGCCTGATGGACCGGGAGAGTTCTAAATCTCTCCCGATCCCGCTCCGCCGTCTCCTTCGTAAGCATAACTTGCTTGAGACGGCGGAAGGCGTGTACACCTATATATTTATATGCAGTAGTATGTCTGGGGTGAGATTAGTTTTAGTCAATACAAGTATAAAATTGCAGATCAATTCTGATGTTTGTACAATGGCCATAAAGAGATTGGAAACTCAAACACAGCTTTTGGAATCGATTGATATTGCAGTAAGTTACAATATCCTTAGTACTTATACCTAACTATTTTTACTAAAAAGTGTTTTTTCTAATAAATTAATCATATAAAATAATAATACATATAATAATAATATATATTAAGTATTCTATCAGTCAATCAGATGTCCAAAATATTATTATTTTTAGGATGAAGATGATGATTGTTCAGTATATAAAAAGTTAACAAGAAAATGCAACTGTTTGACTCAACATGAGTACAATGATTTCGTAATACATTTTAATGAACAAACCAAGTTCTTTACCAACACATCTGGCGAGATTATCAAGAACTTACGTATATTAAAGAAATTCTTATACATGGGTGGAAACTATACAAAGCATGCATTGATGTTCCTAAATGAGGTATCCTTCAACGATGTGATGTTGATAAAATTGTAACCGCGAATTAGATCAGTTATTTTACGTTTTTATCCTTTTTCTCAGTTGAAAATCTTAAATGTTACTAAAATTGCTATATTTCTGTACGGTCACATTATATTATAATATATACTCGTATTAGGTAATTCAACATGAGATGTACTACATTACCTACAGCAGAACTCCTCAATAGGCCCAGAAATGGATCCTATTGATGTAAACAAGAGTAGTTAACCAAACCATAATGACATATGAATAATTCCATTCCGCCTCAGGGTTTGAAAGATTCTTCTTACGCTGAGAAAGTAGAGATCATACAAGGATGTGCGTACACTGATATATGTAACATTTTTGAAGATATCTCTTTAGTAATTTCGTGTATAGCATGGCCTTATAAATATGATTCTTATGGAGACACCGTGACTCAGGTACGTTGTCTTTTACAAGAGTTATAACTTTTATGTATGACATTAAATAAAAATAACTTTCTTATAAAATACGCATTTCAGGAATTAGCAGCAGCCTTTTTATTCAAATTGGCTCAAGTGGAAGAGGGACGGCGGTACTTGAAATTAACTTCCAAAATTAACAATGACATAAAGAAAGTATTTAGATTAAAAGGATCGAGATTGGATTTTAATACTGTAGAGTCATTGCATGCCACTTTAGACGCACTGGACCCAAACAACAGTAAAGAAAATGTTAACGCTGCATACTACTGTAGACCTGATGATGAAGGTAAACTCAAGAAGTTTTCTAGCAAGGCAAAATGTACACAATATGCAAAGTATGCGAGTATGTATGAAAATGCACGTCGCATTTTTAGTGATGTATATCATAATTGCAAAGAAGTTTATTCCGTTGGCAAAAATATGAGACCAAAGATAACACCCGTATATACTGATTAAAATAATTCGGATTTAGATGTAGGTACATTTTATATGAGATTAATTTATTTCACGTTAAGAATTGTTACTATGATTTCGTTGTTTTCAGGTTTCGGAACACAAACCATGAGTGCTTTACAACACTATCGGCGATACATGACGATGGACGAAATTTTCACTCATTTGGACTTCCTTAAAAAATTGAGTAGCGAATCCAAGGGGAAAAAAGAGTTAACCAAATGGCTGCTAGTTTTAGTAATGCTATTTAAAGATATGCTTTTCGAATATAATAACAGCGAAATGAACATTTTAGTTACTAACATACTAAACAATTTACTAACAAAAGATATGATAGCAATAAAACAGTCTGATTTGCCGAAAGTGATGATGGTTGCAGATATAGCGACGGAGGTAAGTATAAAAATATTTCTGCTATTTACGATACGAATTTCGAGAATACTATTAATAATTAAAAGCCTGAAGTGTTTTACTTGGCTTAGATCAATGTAAATGAAAATAATGGCATCTGCTAGAGATACCACCTCGTATTGCTATTAGCACACCAAAGGTTAGTATAGCACTCCTTGCTGGCCCTAGCCCTCAACCACATGGCAGACCGCCTCGGGGAGGTGTTCGACGCCAGCTTGGCGTCGGGACGTTTCCCTGAGTGCTGGAAGAGCGGGAAGCTGGTCCTATTAAGGAAGCCGGGACGGCCTGCCGATTCGGTCGCGGCCTACAGGCCCATCGTGCTGCTGGACGAGGCGGGTAAATTGTTTGAGAGGGTTCTCTCTGCCCGCATCGTCCGGCACCTCAACGAGGTGGGCCCCGAGCTGTCGGACGCCCAATTCGGTTTTCGGGCGGGGCGTTCGACAGTCGACGCTATTTTGCGCCTGAGGGCCGTGACCGAAGAGGCTGTGAGCTGTGGCGGCGTGCTGTTGGCGGTGTCATTGGACATCGCCAACGCATTCAATAGTCTGCCATTCAGCTGCATCAGGGAAGCACTCCACTATCATGGGGTGCCAAAGTACCTGAGGCGGCTAGTGGCAGACTATTTAGAGGAGCGTACCGTCGTGTACGAGGACCGAGATGGTAATTTGAGGTGTCGGCCCATGTCGTGCGGTGTTCCACAGGGGTCTGTTCTTGGACCCCTCTTGTGGAACATAGGGGACGACTGGGCCCTTCGCGCCGATTTCCCCCCCGGGCTGGGTGTAATCTGTTACGCAGACGATACCCTGGTGACAGCCCGGGGGGCAAACTTTCAAGAGGCGGCGCGCCTGGCCACAAGGGGAGTCTCCCTGGTGGTCGGGCGCATTGAGGCGCTGGACGGGTGGCCCTAGATAAGACGGAGGCCCTGTTATTTCATAGGCTCCGTCGTGGTCCACCCCCTGGCGCCTCAATCGTGGTCAACTCGGTCCTCGTACCGGTTCGGGCCCAGATGAAATATCTGGGCCTGATCCTTGATGGGAGGTGGCTCTTCGACGAGCACTTCCGACAGCTTGCTTCAAAGCTGGTCGGCGCTGCGTCTGCCCTAGGGCGACTTTTGCCCAATTTGGGTGGACCCAGCGTCGCGACAAGACGGCTGTACACGGGGGTTGTCCGGTCAATGGCACTATACGGTGCACCGGTGTGGGCGGCGGCTCTGACCGCCCAGAATAGGGCACGCCTCTGGCGCCCTCAGAGGGTAATGGCGGTCAGAGCCATACGCGGTTACCGCACCGTGTCGACGGAGGTGGCGTGCGCGTTGGCCGGAACTCCCCCGTGGGATTTGGAGGTGGAAGTGCTCGCCGAAGTTTATCGGCGAGTGGCTGACTCCCGGGCGGAGAGCCGATTTCGCCCTCCGCCCGAGGATGTGCGCGAGTGGCGCGAAGCCGCTCGCCGAGCCACGATGGCTCGTTGGTCGTTCCGGCTGGAGACTCCACGCGCTGGCTTCGCCGCCGTGGAGGCTCTCCAGCCGTTTGTGTTTGTCTCTCTTCATCGTCAGCAAGAACTACTAATAATAAATAATTAAATCCCAGTCAATCAAAACGACGCAACCAAATTTCGTAACCGCGCAGACGAAACTGAATGTTTGCCTCCCGCCCCCATACGGCGAGGGAAGGTGGGCTATACTAAAGCGACCTATGTAGCTGTAGCAAATGTAGCATGTCAAGACATGCTGCGGCGTCCTGCGACATGCCACAAGATGCCGCGGTATAATTGTATTCAAATTAAGTAATATGATTATATTACTTAATTTCAATTCAATTATACCGCGGTTTAGAAATCTCTAAACTCAATAAAATTCAATTCTAAAAATAGCCCAAGTTACTCCTTATATAGATAGCTAATATTATCAAAATCGGTCCAGCCATTTAGAAGATAACCCGGAATATCAGGCAACAAATAATAACAGAGAGACAGACAAAAAAACTGGTTTTTAGACATATACCAATAGTAAAGTTTGTACCAAGGTGCAACCAAGGTGTACCAGGGTTTGTACCAAATAACCATGCGAGCATGAAAAACCCTTTTATTTTGACATTACAATTACATTACACACTTCGAAATAAAAAATGGAAATCATTCATATCACTTTGCTGGAAATCATTGGGAGAGTCCAGCAGTGGACAAGCATAGGCTGAGGTATAGGTATAAACACACTTCAATTTTATTTATTTGTATAGAAGATAAATCCTTTTAAAAATAAAGTTAAACCGACTTCAAACAATACTAACAAAGAGCAATAAAAACTTAAATGTATATTGTGTAAATTTAAAAAGAAAAAAAGGTTATGAAGAAATTTTAAAAAGTAAAATTTAAATGCATTTTTATGGCACCTTTCGATTGAATATGAAATCGGCTAATTTTTTTTTGTTTTGGTGATTTATTAGCACTAAGTATGGGATCTAATTGAGACACTTTTTAACATGCTTTTATTAGCTTAGTATGTATGTATCCATGTAGGTAACGGAATTTTTGAAAGTGATTTTGACGCAAAACGTCGAATTAAATTGAAACTTCGTACACTTATCAAGGACCCATGACAAAACAATAATTTTTATAAAATAACAAAATTATGCCAATTATGCTGATCAGGATCTTTAGGATTAACGGCTTTTCCATACCAAAATACGGTAGGGTGCGTCTTTTGCTACATACTTAGAGGCGGGTGTTGAAGCATATGTGACTTCTTACTTGTTACTTTTTGTTTTAATGAGAAAATAATCATCATTAATTACTATAAAAACGAAAATAAATTATAGATAAAAACAAACTAAAAAAACGCTTTTGTAGACGAACTGAAAAGTAGAAAATAATTTTCTATAACGTATACTTATCGTATATCGTAAAAAACTTAGAACTTTTATCAATATCTGTCAATAAAATATTTTTACAACAATTGATATCTAGCATCCGACTCATTTTTACGATAAAATGTTTTTTTTTTTTGTTAAAGTTATTTTTTCCTTAATTCGTCTAGTTACAAAAGCATGTTTAGTAGTTTTTTGAACTACAATTTATAAAAAATGGGTTTAATAGCATTTTTATGCCGTATTGTATTGAATAACGCACAGTACGGATTAAAACCGCGTACAAAAAGTCCCCCGAGCAACCGATTACATCGATAGTCAAGACCAGACAAATGTAAAAAAGAAACCGGCCAAGTGCGCGTCGGACTCGCGCACGAAGGGTTCCGTACCATTATTTATAAAAACGGCTAAATATTCTGTGAATATTTCAAGCGTCAGGTAGACGCTTAAAATATTTGCTGTTGCCGTTATCAATATCGAGCAACGTTTGTTGTATGGGAGATCCCTTAAATATTTATTTTATTCTGTTTTTAATATTTGTTGTTATAGCGGCAACAGAAATACATTATCTGTAAAAATTTCAACTGCCTATTTATCACGGTTCATGAGATACAGCCTGGTGACAGACGGACAGCGGAGTCTTAGTATAAGGGTCCCTTTTAACCCTTTGGGTACGGAACCCTAAAAACTAATGCGTGACTAGGTTAGGCACAGCTTTACACAGCGAAATTTGGTGTGCGTTGAGTTCGTGGCAAATTGTCGGTGGACATTATTCACGATTAAGGGTTTTTTATCCTCTGCGGACAAAGTTTCTCGTCTGCGCAGACGGTAATTGTGAAACTTTTGCACTGTATGGACCGTGGATAAAAACGGGGGAACGTCCCGCGTTTTTATTACCGTAATTATGAAAAAAACAGACTGGTTTGGCTCAGCGGCATTTAACTACCACGTTGAGGGTCGCAGATTTAATGTATTCAGTGCATATATTCGGGGGCGGATCTTGAATTTGTGGGGCCCTTGGCTAATACTGCTTAGGGGCCCTTCCGATTCCCAACCAATTGCCATTTTGTCAAAAAACTGTTTTCTGTAGTGATGTAGGTACATCTATACTAATATTATAAAGAAGTAAAGTTTGTGTGTTTGTATATTTGTTAAATTGTAAGGGGTAATCTCGGGATCTACTGAACCGATTTTAAAAATTCTTTCACCAATAGAAAGCCACATTATTGCTGAGTGTCATAGGTTATATAAAAAACCGAAAAATAAAAAGGCTTTTACGTGGTAGTCCGTTTTGCAAAGAGAATCGGAGAAAAAACGGTCGAATGAAAGCGTTTCTAACGAACGCTGCCTTACCTATGAAAGATATATTGTTGAGTTCTAGAAAAAAGATGTGGAGCTTGAAAATGCCTACAAAAAAGTCAACGACAGCATATGTCTATCTTTTATATTTAAGTTACAAAAAGTAGCACTCCACCTTTAAGCTACCTCTGACAGTCTCACTAGAGCAACAGTCAGTTTGTTCCATACGTAAAAATGGGCCACTCGGGAAACTTTTACAAGAATCATCTTTAATTATATGGGACGAATGTACCATGAGTCATAGAGCTCATGTTGAAGCAGTGAACCGAACGCTCAAAGACCTCAGAAACTCTGATGCTGTAATGGGTGGCGTTACTTTTGTTTTCGCGGGCGATTTTCGGCAAACACACTGCCTGTAGTAACAAAAGGAACACGCGCCGATGTCATCAGTGCATGCTTAAAATCATCTCACTTATGGAGTTCGGTTGCATCTCTCAATTTACGAACAAACATGAGAGCCCATTTGAGCGACAACGACGATGACGACTTTCCGCGTCAACTACTCAATCTTGGCGAAGGAAAAATTGTCTCTCCTAACACCAACAGCAATTACATTAAACTTGACGAGACATTAGGACACATATTGCACAGGTTGGAACATCTTATTGACGCAATATATCCCGGTCTTGAATATTTATTGGAGAGAGATTATCATTGGCTTTGTTCTAGGGCAATAGGGTCAGCCAGAAACGATACAGTGACTGAAATAAATAAACTCATTTTAGAGAAAATTCCCGGTCAGGTCACTACAAGTCTATTGATACGGTGTGTAATATTGAGGATACAGTGCACTATCCCTAAGAATTTTTAAATTCTTTGAACCCTTCTGGCTTACCTCCTCACGACCTTGTGTTAAAAGTTGGCATTCCTATCATCCTATTAAGAAACTTGAGCCCCCCCCCCAACATGTGTAATGGGACAAGGCTGCTTACAAAAGAGTTACGGGACAATATGATCGTGGCGACCATTCTCACAGGGACAACTGGCTTATATTCCGCGGATACCCATGATTCCCACTGATTTACCCATACCGTTTAAAAGGCTACAGTTTCCAGTGAAGATCTCTTTTGCCCTCACTATTAACAAGTCCCAAGGTCAGACATTCTCTCTGGTGGGCATTAACCTAAGAAAGCCGTGTTTTTTCCATGGGCAGTTATATGTTGGCTTATCTCGGGTTGGAACTCCTGATAGACAATATATTTTGCTACCAAATGATAACATTACATCCAATATAGTTTACAGAGAAGTTTTGAACAATTAAAATTACCATATCCAAACTAACTTTGCCCGCGACTTGGTCCTCATGGAATTCGTTTATCGCAATCCCGCAGAAAATGTTTTTTCTTTCGGACAGAGTTACTTTCGAATTTTGTATTAGCATGCAAATACAAACTATACCTACGTATAACCCTCCTTTTGGCAGTTAGAAAATAAAACATAACACTCTGTACTAAAAAAGGAATATTAAAATTATGCCCAACGAAGTGGGCACGGGTCTGCTAGTAAATTATAAAGCAACCTTTCTGCATTTTTGTGCTGCAAATTCTTTTATTTGGTCATCGCACTGTAAGTCCTTTGTTAAATCGCAATTTATGGAAAGAGCTGGTAAACGATAGTTCGACATTGTTGTCCTGTATTTGTTTTCTATATACGACATCCTGGTTTGGGAAAACATCAACAAGTTTCTTTTCATAACTTAGCCAAAAAATTTCACTGCAAGAGGTGTAAGACTCTGATTACGTCCACTTTCCAGATCTATATGTTCTTAATTTTGTCTTGCAAATCCATTAAATTTTAATTTGTTTGCTATATCTCATGGGCTTGGCTTCTATTATTTAAATATATAGATAAGCGATAAGCGGAGGGAAGTCCCCAGTAATACACGGAATACACCGACCAAAAAAAAATAGCCAGGGAATTCCCCGTTCCGTTTGATAGATGCGCACACGGGTGGATTGATCGCAGTGTTGCCTTTAAGTAGATCCGCCCCTGCATATATTTATATGTATGTACATTTGCATTAGTCTGGATCTAATTCATGGCAACGAATAAAAACAGCGTTAAAATAAGCGCGGCGCTGTGAGCTTCGTCAACCAATAGTGTAAATTAAAGTACCTACTGGATTAAAGTTATGTAAGAGCGACAAAGCGGAGAAGCAAACGCTTCAATCCTGGCCAACCGATTTTTATAACAAATGCTTTTCTCGTTGGAAATGTGCAGAATGTAATATATATTGTATTCTAAAACTAATATGGTTAATATTAATATTTTAGCCCATACACAAGAGGGATGTATCTAATCAAATTCCAATACCAAAGAAAATCGAGAGAAAGACTAGAAGATTAAAGAGCTGTCTGCGGATGTCAACCAAAAAAAATGGTTATTGTTATGTTTCTTTCAATGACATTTATTGAAATGCTTCCATCCCGTGACTTTGATGTGGTTGATGGCTATCTTTTTCATGTTTATGACTCCTCAGTTGCAGTCCTTCATGGGTGGTAGTTAGTAGTCACTTCCCATCAGATGACCAGTGTTCATTTGCCCCCTATTTAGTTAAAAAAACACCAATATGTGGACATTAACCTTCTCAAATGTTCCATGCTAACTAATAAATTAACTTTAGTGTCATTATAATATTGGTTAAAATTAAATTTGTAGAATTATGTAGTTACAAATGCATTTATGTCAAGTGTTTGCATTTTTTATGTTACAAAACTATTTGTGAAGTGCTGTATATTTGGCTTTTCCAGATTGAAGTCTCAATTATTACATTAACACTAGTACATTTGAAGGTATAATGGCATGGTGTAAGTACATTGTAAACACAAATAACAATAATATAATATTAATTTATTGTAACAATTTCAGGAAAATCACAAGTAATTATAGTACCAAGAGAAAAATGTACACATTGAATAAAAACAAATATAATGAAGTAAAACATTGGAAAATTGCATTAAAACAATAATTTATAATAGGAAAAATGTGTATAATAGAGGAATAAAATTAAACATGTGAAATATTACAAAGCTCTATACATACTAAAGAAAAAAGACAAATAAAACTTCTAAGGATGATATATTATTGTGTTCTTTCACATTTTTAGTCAATATATGGTTAAAAGTTGAGAAGGAATGACAGATTAAATGATTCATAATAAGACCTGTATGCTGTTTCCTTTGCTAATTACTACATGGTTGTAAAATTAGGATGTAAAAGATACTATTAATCACCATGACCACTTATAATTTTAATCTTAACATAATTATTGTATAATATTATATCACATACCAAAGTATAGACAGATAAACTTACATCTAAATAGAGATCTACTAAAACTGAATAATGCAGTAATGCCCAAAGTTAATATTTTAAATAATCCTCAATCAAATTGATTGTCGTACCTGTAATGACTTCTGCGAGACCTATCATGATATGGTACTGAACGTTTGTCAGTTGGAATAGGAACATTCTGTTTGAATAACATTGCTAACAATATATAAAAGCCACCAACAATTTTACTAAAGAAATCTAGTAAGCCAAGGAACATTGGAGTAGAGTTTTTAATTAATATAGATATTTCTCTTAATAATGCTAAAATAAAGTTGCCAAGGAAGTTAACAAAAGAAGTACTCCCTGTAAAAATTGCAATTACAAATGCAAATAAGAAAGTTATAAATTCCTTGACATTGGTAATTGATAGAAAACTCTTCATTGTTCCCATAAAATCAACATATGTTTCATTGAGAGATGCAACACTGCAATCGAGCTTCTTATCTGAAGTGTCCATAACTTTTTTTGCAGAATCAGTTAAAACTGGTTCTATTTCTAAAAATGCATCTGTTATATGTCTCAAACATTTGACCACTACAATAATTTCATCCTCTCTAAACTTTAAAGTCTTTATTTGGAACCAGAAGGGGCCAAAGGGTTGGTTTTCAATTTCTGTCCACAGGCACACACCTGTAGAATGATATCCTAAGATATCTGTTTCTGTTATACCTATCCAACGTATATTAGGTGCGATGGCATGTAATTTACGTCGTATATCTAGCAAATCCGCTTTTAATTCAACTTCAGCTGGGCTAATTACCACTACGTCCCGATAACCGATGTCTTTATCTGCCAGTCGTCTTTCGATGTAACGACCCAAAAAAACTCGCGACTTCAAACTGTCTTTCACATAGTTTTTTATTTTAAAAGTATCTGCGTTTTCCGTGTTTTCTGATTGAGAAGATATTTCTGACGAATTGAATGACGTACTTTGGCGATTAACACTCATTTTTCTAATCTAGCACAGAAAAATAAAATAAAATATAAAAATACAAAACGGATAAATAAATTTCAACCAGTTTACCCGGTTCACAAAATTTGTCAAAATATTTTGATTACCGACATTGACAATTGACAATATAGTCACGTACAAAACTATACTAGGATAATTATTCGATTCCACATTTGACATTAGCTACTGTCATTTTGTAAAATAATGATACCACATATAATAGTGTAGTGATGAACACAAAAATCGATAAACAATCGCGATTTATGTTTATGTAATCATAATATTGGTGTGCCAATAAAAGACTAAATTATTGATTTTTATTTAAATAAATACATAATTATTCATAATAATTATATTATTAATTAGTAACCGCTGCTTTATTTAAAAAAAAATAATATTTTTGTTTTTTATATTAAAAACAAAACTTATAAAAAAAGACCCTAGATAGTTTTCTGTATTGGCAACCCGTGCGCGTTCGTGCAGCTATCGCCGTTTTGTTTATCTTGTCATTCGGCTTCATTCTCCCAGTCTGACTGCACGAATATCTTGTTTCATTGCGAATCGATATTTTGTTATTTTGTTGGGTTTTTGTTAAAGTTTTATTACGTTGTGTTTGTTGTTACGTTTATAGTTTTTTGTAAACTTTGAGTGAATCTATTTGTTTTGGTTTTCCATCAAAATGGATCCTCAGCCAAGTACATCACAAAAAGACGTGGATGTTTTCTTGTCCCCAAGAAAAAAACGTCCACGAAAAGCTTTCACTGTTACTGAAAAAGTAATGATCCGCAACGCCTACAAGTACGGGAAAAATGAAACTTCTCCGCAATTGGAGGCCTTTGAAGTTGTTGAAGAAAATGCATGTATGAGCAAAGTTGCTGACATATTGGGAATAACCTCACGCTCTGTTTGTAACGTTTTGAAGGAAGGAAATAAAGGTGCGCCGCCAACTCCTCCTAAAAAAGCTGGACCAAAGCGAAGTTTCAAAGATAAAATTGATGAATTTACATTCTCCGCAATACGAAGAATTGTTTATCAGTTCTTTTACCGAAATGAACCTCCAACCATTGCAAAAGTAAGTCAATCAGTCAGACAGTATTATTTTATACCTACATCTTTTATATATAAGCAATGATTCCAAACTATTATAAAATTTACTATTTTAGATTTTACAAGTGATGAACGATGATCCAGAAATGCCCAAGGTTGCCAAAGACACTCTCAGAAAAATTTTGAATCATCTTAATTTTAAATTTGTTGCACGGTCACGCAAGAGCACACTTATTGATCGAAATGATATAATAACATGGCGCCAGCGTTACTTGCTATCTCTATGTCAGTTTCGACGAAAAGGGAGACATATATATTATCAAGATGAAACTTGGGTTAACGCAGGTAAGGCTAACATTTTGAATTTATATACATTTTACATTAAATTTAATAGTAATATTGAATGTTCATGTACTATATTTATTTTTAGGTCATACTGTAAAAAAAACTTGGGTGGACAAGTAAGTCACATCATCTCGGCAAGCGTTTTTGGAGGGACTAACCACTGGATTAAAAAATCCCTCTGGACTTTTCCATAGGGATTTTTTAATCCACTGGTTTGCCTTTGCAAACGTCTCATAATTAGCCATATAGGTAGTGAAGAAGGCTTCCTGGAAGAGGGGCTTAAGATTTTTGAAGCAAAGAAAAATTATGAAGATTACCATGATGAGATGAATGCAGTTTGTTTTGAGGATTTGTTCGCTGGAGTTTTACCAAAATTAAGACCAAACTCAATTGTGGTGATGGATAATGCACCTTACCACTCCCGAAAATTGAAAACGGCACCAAAAATGAGCTGGAAAAAAGCTGCCATTCAAGACTGGCTTTTAAATGAAAATATTCATTACGAACCAGATATGGTTAAAGCTACTCTTTTAGAACTGATTCCACATAACGAGTCTTTTAATAAGTACGCTGAAGACGAAATGGCAGCACAACATGGGATCACGGTTTTAAGACTGCCCCCTTACCATTGCGAGCTGAACCCTATCGAATTGATATGGGCTAGCGTTTTTGGAGGGACTAACCACTGGATTAAAAAATCCATCTGGAAAAGGCAAACGTCTCATAAACAGCCATATAGGTAGTGAAGAAGGCTTCCTGGAAGAGGGGCTTAAGATTTTTGAAGCAAAGAAAAATTATGAAGATTACCATGATGAGATGAATGCAGTTTGTTTTGAGGAGTGGTTCGCTGGAGTTTTACTAAAATTAAGACAAAACTCAATTGTGGTGATGGATAATGCACCTTACCACTCCCGAAAATTGAAAACGGCACCAAAAATGAGCTGGAAAAAAGCTGCCATTCAAGACTGGCTTTTAAATGAAAATATTCATTACGAACCAGATATGGTTAAAGCTACGCTTTTAGAACTGATTCCACATAACGAGTCTTTTAATAAGTACGCTGAAGACGAAATGGCAGCACAACATGGGATCACGGTTTTAAGACTGCCCCCTTACCATTGCGAGCTGAACCCTATCGAATTGATATGGGCTCAGGTAAAGGGGCATGTAGCTCAAAATAATAAAACCTTCAAATTGACAGACGTGCGAAATTTATTTGAGGAGGGCATTCAAAAAATTACGGCTACCGAATGGTCTAAATGCGTATCCCATGTTGTCAAAGAAGAGGAAAAAATGACATATGTTAATTGACAATATCACAGACACTTAAATGTTACAGAAAGTGACAGCGAAGTGACAGCGATAGCGATGACGGCGACGATTTATAAAATAAAATATTACCATAATACATCTATTTGTTTTATATCTCATGTTCCTTCATGATCACATTTTTTTATTTATTTCACACACAATTATTAAAGAAAACTCTCAGATCCTTAATAAAATTAATCGTCATAACTAAATTATCCGTTCAGAAATATTTACTTTCCTGATATACTTTGTTTCTATTAAAGTAGTAGTTGTTTGCATATACTACTATAAACGAGAGGAATCCATCCGGAAATATTCCATTTCCATATCGAATAATTTCGCAGCGTCACTATTTAGTACTTGTCATAAGGTTGCTACACTGAAATTGTCAAATCTGGAATCTAATTAAAAGGTATACTACCAACTTTTTGCGTAAGCAGTGTTGCTAAAAGTTAAATTAACTGTTCACCAGATTCAAAATCTAAAACCACCAGAAAACCACTAATGTTAAACGGCTTCCCCAATAGTCGCTAAATTTACTATTAAAAAAAAGCATTTTTTTGTTATCACGATTGAAACCATATAATTATTGTTTATTACGTATTAATAATAATTAGTTTCTTTTATTATTACGCAATACTAACATTCAAAATCAAATTACTAAGAGTAAATCAAGACCCGGAACATAAAAATTATTCAATTAGAACAGTTACTTATTTAATTTGTCTTCTTCAGATGAATCGTTTTTGTCTGCACCATCATCGTCGGTTTCAAATTGATATCATTCTTGGTCACCGATTTGCTTTACAACGTTTATTAGAATTTCGTATTCGTTGCAGCATTTTCCGTCCAACCTTAAACCACATACATGAACAGCCTTTAATAGTCCACTGCTGGACATATGCCTCCCCTTAGAAAGGAGGTTTTGGCCTACTACACCACTCTGTTGTTAAGCTATTGCATAGCTTCTATCGCGGGCCTTGAGCGTGGAGACCGAATCCAGAAATTCCTTAACGAAAATAACCTAACACCTCCCACTCCGACCGGCACAGCGGTGATACTTTTTAGTTTTTCCATCTATCGATGAATAGCAGAACTTTTTTTAAGGTAGGGTGTTCCTTTGACATGACAAAGGGGGGAGACCAGTTTTTTTTTATTCATGTAATAACATCCACATACAATACCCCCCCCCCCCAAATTTTATAATTGCATTGAGGTCCCTGCCTTGCCCTTCAAAATACCTCCCCTTCTCTCCCCTCCACTTTTTTCATTTATCCCCCCTTTGATTTTCTCGGTACCTGGAGCACTTGGACTCCCATGTTTTGGACTGCCTTAGTGGGTTCGATTCCCGGCCGGGAATTCTTTATCGAAAGCTCTACCGTGCTTTCATGCACTCACAGGATGCGACTACACACCAGCTCTTTTCCGGAAACTTCGACCTTTTAAACTGTTAGAGCAATCAGAAGAGTATCAATTAGCTTGTCAAAATATTATTACAGATGATGAAGAATTGCTGAATGAGACTTTAAGATCTTAGAAAAGTTAATTTGTCATATTTACGGAGCTCGTGATTCTTGGAACGTCAATGAAGTTCGGTTTAATCTGTTTTCAAATACTTATCGGTCTAAAAAATCAGATGATAATTTTGAAAAAAAAAATCGTAACTTTGATCCATCAAGCCTACCACCATGCAAAAGTGAATTGTATCAGCATTTACTACGCGTTCGTTACGTTACAAAGTTTTGGAGAAATGCTCATTTAAAACACCCGACATCTCTATCACCTCAAGCTTCCGGCTGGACCATAAATGACGATAAATATGATTTTGTCTGGTTTGTTGGAGAGCAATTGCCATCATTAGTTGCCGACATTATTATTAAAGGTAAAAATTAAAAATAAAATACTAATAAACTTCTTTGACGAAAGATTATTCAATTTTTCATTATTTTACAGATAATAACTTATTAGAAGACGATGACAACCCAAAAGACGATGATGACAATGATAATGACAGCAGTGATGAAGATGATGATGATGATTATGATTATCAAGATGCCTCCGTTTTTTGTGATACAATTATCAATAAAAAAATATAATTTTTGTTTATTTTCATACTTGAGATTGATTATTATCTTAATTTTGTTCAAAAATAAATAATTATTTTGATACTACATTAATCCAACATTTATTCATTAATTTTTAATTCTTTCTCTGTAATTTATTCGACAACTATTTTTAGACCAAGCAAAATGATACCACATCACTTTCCACTTTTAAATCGGTCTGGCTGAAGGTTTAGCAACCGAATAATTGTTTGGCAAATTAATTTTAAGTTTTTAGATACTTAAATAATATAAAAAAAATTGAGCCATACTGAATTATTTTGAATTTTTTTTTTAATTCGAAATTAGCGTCTGAAACAGTTTAAACAGCAATAAAAATGTCTGGCAATATTAGATTAACGTTGTAGAAAGTTCAATAAAAATAATAAAAAAAAACTTCTTAAAATGATTTAAAAAATCGATATTTTACCTGTGCAGGTAGGATGCGCACTGATGAACGCAACCACTACCGCCAGCCAGATAGTCCATATGACGTGCGGGAGAGTGAGAGAGATAGGATATCTAAAAACTGGCCTACCCAGTATATTACAATGTACTCTGTGGGCCTACCTGAAATACTTGTTTTCCTGACGTTCCTAGCTCTCGTACTATATATAAGAAATTGAAAAATCAAATTCATAATCCTATTTAATTACTATGTTACCCATACACTATCACAACGCGTATCATAAGTAAGCATCAAGTTTAACTTTATATTGAAAACATGCACTCAAAAACACGAATTAATCGTTGATTAATATTCCGTCAGGACTTTACTACAATGTCATGTCTTTGGGTTGGTTGCTTTTATGGCCGAATAAAATAGAGTTTCTGAAAATCGTTTACAAAAATTACATTAAAAAAAGAGATAAATGTGTAATTAGTGTATTATTTAATATTTAAACATATAAAAACAAAATCTGATCACATATAGTTTTAGCTTTATTTTGATATTTAATTTGAATATTTTGATATTATACTAAATCACATCACACATCAACAGCCTTTAATAGTCCACTGCTGGACATACTAAATGATTTGGTTAAAAAAAATAATTCATCCTCATTTTTCTGTCTCAAACGTCGTGTCTCATTTTGCAACAGTCACGTGCCACAGTCATGGACGGATGATACCAAGGCATCTTGTTCAAAAGTGCTAATGGGTAAGGGAGGACGACTAATAATCTGTCTTAAAACGGCACAAAGAGGGTACAAAACACAAAGATAAAATTAAAGGGATCAGTCAACAACTTTCAATTTCAAACCTTTTTGATAAAACGAAAATGCAGTCCGCTGATAGGAAAGTCAAACGAGCTGAGATAAAGTTGGCGGCATTTATAGCAGAGCACAAAATTTCACACGCTGTTATTGATCATTTGAACGATTTACTTCCTGACATTTTCCCAGACTCCAGCATAGCGACAAACTTAAAAATGAAGCACAGTAAATTACACGTGGTGATCACGAATGTCTTGGATGTAAGTGAAAAAGAGTCCATCGTATCTGATTTGAAATGCCAGAAATGTTCAGTTTTAGTAGATGAAAGTACAGACATAGTGGTCAAAACAATGTGTGTGTTGTGCATTATTATGACTCGGAAATCGGACGAGTTGTTAGTCGTTTTTGGGATCTCATCCAACTATTTGCAGAATCTACAGCGGACCACAGTGCCAATGCAGAATACCTTTTTAATGCAATCGTAAAATCTTTCGAAGATCAAAACGTACCACTTCAAAATGTAATAGGTTTTGGCTCGTTTGGTTGTAATACAATGATGAGCATTCGCAACTCAGTTTCTTCTAGGTTTCGACAATCATGTCCAGGTATTGTAATTATTAAATGCATCTGCCAGTCGCTACACCTGTGTGCTAGTGATGCCGCTAAAGAAATACCTACAGAATGTGAACAACTGGCACGCGACGTTTACAATCATTTTAAATCGAGCAGCAAACGCCAAAGTCAGTTTAAGGATTTTCAAAATTTCGTCGAGGTTGATGTACACAAAATACTACGTCCAGCCCAAACAAGATGGCTGTCGCAATCATTGGTTGTAGACCGATTGTTGGAACAATGGGACGCACTACGTCTCTATTTCGACAGTAAATGGTTAGATGATCGCGAATGCAGGGAAATCCACAAACGACTAAATGACTCAATAATAAAAGCCTACTACTGTTTTCTGTCATGGATGTTATCTAAGTTTGCAAATGCAAATGCTTACTTTCAAAGTGAAAGTACTGTTATCACAGAAATGCACACTAAAATGAGAGACTTATATAGAAATCTGATCAAACTTGTGATGCAGCCGGAGTGCATGCTCGATGACAAGCTCGACAAAATTGATCCTACCATCTTGGTCTCGGCGTCCGCAAACAACTATCGCTACCTGAAGTGGCAAATAATGAAAATGACATACGTGAGTTCAGAAGTAAGTGCAGAAAATTCATTTTAAGAACTATCATTGGAATAAGAAAAAGGTACAGCCTCGACGATGAACTCCTACACGCAGTTTCTACAATCAGTCCAGAAGCTTGTCTATCACTGCTATCACACGAAAGACCCACCACCTTGGCCCCTCTTTTCACGATGTTGTCAAGAATAACTCCCAAATCGTTACAGGAACAACAGGATTTAGATGACCAATGGAGATGTTTGCCATCTTACAAACAGAACACACTGGATACCAATGAGCCTTCAGATATATTTTGGCATCAAGTAAGTTTTATATTATTGTAACTAACAATACTTTTCATGGCTAAACGGCTGAGCAGATTTAGGTGACATTTGGAAAGGCAATAGAGATATGTATTCCCAGGAAGAACATAGGCTACTTTAGGCAAAAGCTAGTATAAAAAAAGAATGACTATTATAGCAGTGGTAGGTTATCATCAGAGCAAGTTAATACAGTTTGTTTTTACTTTCAGGTTGCCCAACTACAAAACAAAGATGGAAAAAAACCATTTTCAACCTTGTCCAACTTCATGCTGCAAATTTTATGCCTACCACACTCTAATGCTGACTGCGAAAGAGTTTTCAGCCAAATAGACGACATCAAAACCGACAAGAGGAATAAACTAGTTACAAAAACGGTTACTGGGAATTTGTTAGCCGAACAATGCATCAAAAGACACGGCAAAAATTGAATTAATTTCACCCCAACCGATAAAATGTTAAATATGATGAACGCATCTATGTATACGTAGATGCGTTCATCATATTCATCATTTGTATAAAGATAAATATTTCATACAAATTGATTTCTTTTAATTAATTAATTTTACCGTAATCCTACCACTTTTTTTATACTACTGACACCATAATCTACCGTATTTGTCACCTGGCAATACCATATTTTCGTTAGAACGAGTTGGATACACTGCTTCTAGCTGATGTTTATATTCTTATAAGTGCCGGCTTGGCTCCGACTTTTAAACAGACGAGTAGGCATGGGAATTTATAATGTTATCGATTAAGAAGCAAACTACGCAGGACGACGGCACTGCAAAGGGAAGGAAAACTTGAAAGAAACCTGTGGAGAAGCGAGTCTCATGTCCCTCCAATACAAAGGAATGACCCTCCGCACAGGTGAGGTGAGATGATATTGCCCGGCGGGCCGCGGCCCTACGGTTGATATTGGGAAGTTGTTGTTATATATGTTCATCGGCGTAAGAATTATTCATATCGCAATACAGGATTAGCGGTGTGTCTATACTCTGTAGTGGAGCGTGTCAATGCCAGTAGTGAGTAGTTCCAGTGAGTCGGTACCGAGTATCGTTAGTTCTAGAAAGTTTAAACTGTGTATCGTTAGTAGTGAGTCGTAGTAGTCATTTCACATTTCAAATCACGTCTTGTCTTCTCAAGTCCGTAGGTGAATATTAAATTAAACAACTTTTCTGGTTTATAAAATTTTTACTTCATTTAAATTTATATTGACAATAATTGGAAAGTAGTAGGATGCTATTTTTAAATAAAAATATTTTTCAAGTAATGACAAAATATCTGCTAGCTGCTAGCTAGCTAGGTTTTAAGACCAATAATGTAATGTGTTCTTACTGATAAGCTGTTTAAATGAGACGAATGCTTGAATGCTCAGACAAAATTTAGTCTCAAGCACCCATTGATTGCACCTCTCATTTATACAAGTTTATTATTATAAATATACAAGGTGTAAGGGACATATTACCGAATACCGAAATAGTGTATTCAGATCATGATCCTGAGTTGAAAATCATTGAAATTTTCTGCCAGAAAATTCATCTCTTTTTTTAATTTTCTATTTTTCTGATTAAAAATTATGAAAAATGATATGACAATGAGTAGACAGAACTTTTTACCGAAAACAATTTAATAAATACCAAAAAACTGCAATGAAATTAATCAAACAGCCGAAGCGCGCGGGGCTTCCCCACCGACACCGGCCGCCATTTTGTGTTAGTTGCGTAGACTGTTTGCAAGGAATACACATGTAGTTATTACTTTTGTGCGATACTTACGGGGAATGATCTTAACCTTTGACAGCTGATTGCATAAAAAGTTTAGTTTTCCGGCAGAAAATTTCAATGATTTTCGACTCAGAATAATGGTCTGAATACACCAATTCAGTATTCGTGAATGTTTATGCACCTCTTCTTTTTTTCGATAGCATAGGCATATGACACGTACGCTCTCATGGTAGAAGATTGCAAGATTATTGTCCTAGATCAGACACAATTACGACTACAATTGTGTATTTCTTGGCCTAAGAGCCCAAGAATGTCTCTCGACTTTAGGAATCCATCCCAGGACCTTAGCACAACAATAGTCATACACATTACCACCGAAGTATTTTTGAATAATTCATTACAAGTGTCCATTTCAAAAAGAAAGTAATAAACACTATACTAACTTTTCACATACCTTTTAGGACATCTGATATTCCTTACCTATTTAATGTGAATTTTTGTTTATCTACATTAAGAAAATTTGTATATGTACAGAGAGTATAAATCTTCATATTTTTTAAATAGGTAAGTCTATTTATATTAGTAGATACTTACCATATAATTATTCATTTATCGTACAGAAGACACGGTTCATTATAATCAAATCACAATAGAAATAATTGATTGTATGACGAAACTATACTAACTAACTTTGAAGTATAATATGATATTTTCTCATTAAACTGCCAATAGCTTACATATATATATATAAAAACCAGCACAGAAGACTTTTGCATTTGAATTTAACTTTTTTATATTTACAATACAATTACATAGATCTTATAACTTGGAAATTTAAAATTTTTAAAATTAACACATATATTTTTGACAGTTTAGTTGCCTGTTAGATAAGCGTGGTTTCAACAAAAATGTGGCAACTATTGTAAGATTAGACAGTATTTACAAGCTTACCTATACAGACGGAATTCATATACAAAATATTTGAGTTTTATATGAGATATGAATCTAGATCAGATCATTAAATTGTTAAAGATTACTATACTCCCTTCCCTTTCTACTTTCCCCACTTCGTCATTTCGATATATTACCAGTTGTGTTGTCTTTATTTTATTTTTAATAGTTCATGTAATTATTAAAAGGCAGCATTTTGCCTCTGCCATATTCTGCCAACTATAATTTGGCCTCTCTACCATTTAGGCGTTAGGGTATGTACCCACTGAGCTATCTATACTATGAATAGATATCGAACTATAAAATAACACACATCGTACAAAGATAATATTTTTCTAATGACTAATGAATATAACGCTGAAGGTATATTCGTATATATATTCGTTTGCACGGCAATAAAACTTGTCTATAATCAGGAAACAATATAAGCTATTATTATATCTTCACTTTTGCACATATGAACGCAGGAGTAACTGATATTAACATATTCTGGTTAAAATAAATTATCACCATATTGTGTACAAACTCACTTGTCGTTGTGAAGGACGCGACTGACGCTAGAGATACCCATTCGCGTACCCAGGGCTTGTTTACATATTTGTTACTACAACATGAGGATCAAACCGTTTCTTATCATGATAACCATACCTAAATATGCCCAAGTTGCCGAAAGTATTTAAGTACATATTAAGAATATTTTCCCCATCATCAAACATACATGTTTTATTTCTCTTTGGTTCTCCTCATAGTGCGTATATGTAGCCTAAGTCTTAATAATTTATTTACTAAAACGTAACATAATACAAAATTTCAATATTCATAACAATGACATGCGCAAGTGAAAATGACAAAGATAAATTATAGCTATATTAGGAAGAATAAGATGAAATATAAATGAAGGACTTATAATTAGTTTAATAATTTAATAAGATAGAGGTAATTCCTCGTATTATAATGCAAACTCGTAACGGTTTACAATTGCTTAGCTCGACAGAAATCACAATTTACCTAATTAACTAAGCAAATTAGTACTAAAATGTACTTATATATTTTCTCCTACACAATATACCACAGTAAATCTTACCCGCTCTTTTACACCCTCACAACCGCATTCACAGACTCTGTAACCAATTTATTTCGTTGTCAACATAAGCGTCTCAGAAATGGGCGTTCATTGATGTGCTATAAAAAACAAAAGACTTAATCTGATATCTACAAGGACTCCTTTGCTTTTTTGTTAGTACTATTTTTTTTCTATTTAACACTATGTTAAAAAATATGTTCATATATATAAAAAAAAGAAAAATCTTCTAGTCATTTACGAGTCTCAGAGTACCCTGTTTAACTTTAGGCCTCAATACAAGACAAAGAAAAATATAGTATCTAATGGCACATAAGAAACTTATAGAACTATTATATACACAATAGTGTTTCAATTTTTTCGACACAGCCCAAGGAAGGGCTCAAAATATAAACTTAATCATTAAAATATAAGAAATCATCGGCGCCATTAAATAATCCATTCACGCGCTCCTTAAACGAAACTGACCGTTTACACTAGCAGTTCAACTGACAAAAGTCTCTAAAGCTTCATTTCTCCTTTGCGTCTATACCTCGCATCGGCATCGATCGGCTGGGTTAACGACGGTTTCCAAAGCGGTCACGAGACCGTATTCGACTAAAAATTATTTAACAAAAAGGAAGCCGTGCACGCTAGCCAGGAACTTATCGAAGTTGTCTTGGAAGCGAAGCCGGTGCGGCCTGAGGCCGTCGAACAGGACGCCGTTGGTGAGCACCCCAAAGGCCTCCTCCAGGCGCGGCACGTTGGCGGGGTCGTTGGCCGCGAAGGCCTCGATGAGCTGCCGCGCCAGGCCCTCCAGCAGCGCCGGCTTCACGCACGTCAGCGAGTAGATCGCCGCGCCGGCCGCGGGAATGGAGTCGGGCGGGATTTCCATTTTGATGATGAGCATCAGGAGCAGCTCGGCGAGCGTCAGCAGGGACAGCGCGTACGGGTTGTCGTCGCCCAGCCGTCGCACCTTGTTGGACAGGCCGACGATAGTGTCGCAACACAGAGTGGACACGTCGCACGATACCGCCGTCAGTCCTACTCGTAAAGCCGTAATCACCATGTTGAAATCCTCGATGGGGAGCGAGGTCAGCTGAAAAATTAAATAAAAGTTTATATTTATAAAAGTGGAGACCCGAGATCGGCGAACTAATACTTTTCTACCGTCAATATGTCGATTTAGCTGTAAATCTTCCATAGAACCTTCGATCAATAATAGTACTAGATTCACGATAAGCGGTTCAAAAACGGCCCGAAAAATAAGAGCACAAAAGTGTTTGTGCTCTTATTTCAAGTTAGTACGATCCAATCATTGCCAACAATAGGACGTCAAAATGCCGCAGTGCGCGTTCAAAAACTGTGTAAATAACCACCGTAACACCAAGGTTTTGGAAGGAATATCTTTTTTCGGTAAGTTAATATCAATAAGTGTTTTTTCATAATATAATAAGTATAAACAGAATTAAACTGTAAATATAATTCAATTAGCGAATGTTATAATTGTTTGGCCAATGTTTGCTACAACGCATCAATTATTGTATCAAACATTGACTGTTCTTGAACAGGGAATGCATGGAGTAGTGTGGTTATTTTGTAATGTTCTTTTTGTTTGTAGATTTCCTAGTGACTTATAGACTTTTAAGCTATAAACTTTTGTAATAAAACCTTAAATATTCCCGCATTTAGAGAATCAGAATGCACAGTAGAATTTATTAAGATACTAAATGATCTTTTTGATATCCTAAATACTAGAAATCTTAAGGACTTTGGATTCAAACATTCAAAGGGAATAAGGGTAGTTCACAAAAAATATTGTCGTTCTTGTCTTAAATTAAAGACTACTTATTGTCATTATCAATCAATGTTACAAATAAAAGAACTCTTAAAGTCGGTACCGATATAAGAACTGTGTTTTCAACCAAAAAAGTGTCCCTTATCAAAACACAGAATAATATTGGATTATTAGGACTATTAGTGTGCATAAACAGTCTGACTCATTTGTATAAAACTTTAGTTTCAACTGACATTCTTTCTTTTTTATTAACGTATAAACTCAGGCAAGACCATGTCGAGCTATTTTTTGGGAACATACGGAGTCAAAATGGACATAACAATAATCCCAACACTCGTCAATTTAAAGCCAGTTTTGCAAAACTGCTGTCTCATTTAGAAGTGGGCTCTAAATTTACTGGAAATTGTATACCCATAGAGAACATACCTATTTTATCCGGATCATCATCCCTCAACAAAATTAGTAACTTATCAATAGGTTACCGTTTTGAAGAAACCGAGGAGAAAAATTTAAGTTCTGCAGAAATTTTAAAAAAAAAAATCAATAGAACAGAGTTTTGATAAATATCAGACAAATTGCACTGAACTGATCGAAAAACTTGATTATAATCCAACTTCAGATATTCTTCCGCAAATAGTAGGTTACATTTCTGGTTTTGTAGTTAGTAGCCTTGTTAAGAAAATTAATTGTGAGGACTGTAAAATAGATTTATGGGCTAAAGAAAAATTATGGTTCCACAAATTAATAGATATAAGAGACATGGGTGGTGTATGTTATGCTTCAAACGGCGTATTTGAGATATGCATGAAAACTTTATATGTGTAAATGTTTTAAACGCGTATATTGAAAAGGATGTGTTTTCTGGGGGAAACGAACACAGCCATAAAATATATTTAATTAAATTAGTTATAGAAAAATTCATTGATGTAAGATTACATTATTTTTGGAAAAAAAGAAACCGCTCAAATAAAAAATACTTCCAAAAGACAGCTTTATAACAAGCTTAATTTGTTTAAAGGTAATTAAATTAAATATTTTGAATTGTGCTTATTACTGTGTATTGTTTTGTGCCCTTAATTTTTATATTGATGATTTTATTATTTTTATATTTTATTTTGATTAATTTTAAATGTTGGATTCTTCTTCTTACTTTATCAAACTTGTTGTTCCCACCTATATTATAAGCGAATGATGTGGTCGCCTATTATTATTATATAGTATTGTCAGTGTTCAAATTAACATGCACGTATTTGTTTAGCCTCTGTTGGCGTTCCAATAAATAAATAAATACATGAAACATTACTAAATATTTTAAATACTTTGTATAAAAAAATACGCCGAAAACACGTTTCTTGATTCACTTTTTTTTTATTAACTTGTAATAGTGACAATGTTAAATAGTACCTATCTACTACTTTTTTGAATTGGTCGAAATATTTGCCACCATACAAAAAAAATAATTCTGCAACTCTACGTCTTTCAATACTTACTGTGTTCTCAGCATTGAAATGTAATACTAAGAACTGCATCTAGTTCCACTATAGAATAAGCACGAAATTGTGCACATTATGTTTTTAACCTTATTGCTTAGAGTTTAAGTTTCTTTTTAGAATAAATATTTTTGTACGGATGACTTTTTATTTTCAAGCGACATTTTAAATTTAATGCTTCTAACCTTTCTCCGATGAAAGGACTTAAATAAATATATTTCCATGGTTAATCAACGTATGTGTAAGCATTAGGTTTATAAATCTGAAGTATATATTATACTTTTTTCTAAGAATGTAGATGTTCCTGAATTTAAATTGATAACCCGTCGTTGTAGAAATTTACAAAAAAAAAAACAATTATTGAAATCGATTCACAAATTGTTATGATGTTGCGTAGCATACAACAAAATAAAGCAGTCCCATTGATAACACCTCCTATTTGAAGTCAGTTAAAAACACGAAATATAAAAAATACTATACAAACTAGCAATTTAAGCACTTCTTTTAATAAAAAGTTTAGTATATCAAATCAGCATATACTATATCAAGGAAAGTCACGAATTACGAAAGATATATATTAAATAAAAAAATAAACTTACTTCAATATAGGATCAACATTATCAGTGTTAGTACTTTCACCGACCAGGAATCTGAGTGAGGCGTCAACATCAGCATCTTCCCTCATACTGTATTGGATGATCTCAGAAGGAATCATGACGATTTCACCTTCCGTGCAGTCTATGGCGAGGAAATGACCTGAAACAATAAAAGAAAAAACAACTTAATTTTTTTTATTTAATTGTGTATATAATACATATATACATAATACACATTTATAACATCACATCTGAAACCAGCTTTGGTCAATCGGTCGTCCCCACTGCTCCTTCACGACAACGCGCGACCCCATACTGCGCAACAGACAGTCTCCAAGCTGCAAGAGCTGGGGTTGGAAGCTCTCCCTCATCCGCCATACTCACCAGACCTTGCACCTACCGACTATTACTTTTCCAAAATTTAGACAACTTTTTAGTGGATAAAAAAATCAATTCCCGAGAGGCAGTACAAAATGCCTTTGAAGAGTTTGTTGCCTCCCGTCCAGCTGATTTTTACAAGAAGGGCATCAATAAACTGCCAATGCGTTGGCAAAGATGCGTCGATTGCATGGGTGATTACTTCGAATAACAGAAATAAAAAAGTTTGAAAAAATAAGTACTTTCACTTATTGCATACAAAACGGCAATTTTATAAGTAAAGACCTAATATACGATGATACATCGCAAAATCAAATTAGAAAAGTAGTTCGCTGAACACAACCGCCATGGTATCTTGCAGAGCTAACTAATCCTACTGATCTCTCCTAAGTTTGAAATGAAAAGATGTAAAGGTACATTTTATGAATAATTTATTTATTAGGATAAGGCAAATAATGCATTATTTTAGAACTTATTTTATTACCATAAAACGGATATAGGGAGCCAATCTTAAAAGATAGACATATGCCATCGCGGACTTCTTTTTTAGACCTTTTAAAGGAGAACAATACTGTCATACGTGATTTTTGCGAACCTTTAACCGTTTACGCAACGCACGCAACGTAAGCTCTCAGTAGAGAATAATTTTCCCCCTTTTTTGCAACATTTTTCATTGATACTCTACTCTTATTGGTCGTAGCGTGATAGTATTAAGCCCACAGCCTTCCTCAATAAATGAGCTATCTAACACTGAAATATTTTTTTACATCGAACCATTAGTAACTGAGATTCGCAGGTTCAACCAAACAAATAAACAAACAAACTCTTCAGCTTTATAATATTAGTAGAGATAACTTACACCCAGAAACTGAACAATAATGAAAGTCACCATTACACAATCATTTGTAATGGGTGACGATCAAATCCAATACCTCCGTCTCAGCAGTGAGAGTCACCAACCGCTAGTCCAACAGGACCCTCACGGCGTCACGCGAAAGGAAAGCATCTAGGTATTTATTAAAGTGAAATGTTACTTGAGATATTTTCGAGCAGCGTGCCTCATTTTAGGGAAATGGGACACTAATCAAAAACATTCCAAGTCAGATTTTTAAAATATAAAACGTTTATATTAAAGTATTAACTGGAACATCTTAATTACGACTTATAAAAATGATGTTATTAGTACAGCGACATCTAGTTCGCATACATATAATATATATTAAGTATAACTAACGAAAGTGCTGCCTTAGTGGTGTAGTACGCGACTGCAGTCCATGATGAATGATATTTATTTCTGTAAGTAAATCGTTTCGAATACTTTTACAAGTCGGACTTTACGGCTAGAATTAGATTAGATTTTATCAAAATCGTTAAATAGTATAAAATAATTTTTTTGTTGTACGCTTTTTTGTTGTACGCTTAGATCTTTTAAACTAAGCAACGGATTTTAATGTAGTTTTTACAAATAGAGCGAGCGATTCACGAGGAAGTTTTGATATGTATGATAGATGTATATTATAGTAGAGAAAATCTAAGAATTGCAATGGTTTGTCTTAAAAACCATGGTTTTGCACGCTTACATTGCAAATGCTGGCTAATCCTACGGAATTGTAAATCTTAAAAAGAGCTACAAAAAGTCCGCGGTGTTATATGTCTATTTCCTAAAAATAACCCACAGTAACCATTTTAATCTATACAGTATTACAAAAAAAATATGGTTTATTTACAAAGCTATTTTAAACAATACATTATTACTCCTTATCCAATTGAATACGTAAGCTACGTTGCGCATTTAATGTACATTAAAATTGTTCTTTACAGCATATCATTAAAATTAATACTTTAGAAGATATTAGAGGTTTAAAATGCGTACGTCGTCGCGGGTGGCAGCGGCCGGCATAATCTGAGCGGGCCTACAAATATTGCATATAAAGATGTCCTGTAGTATAATCCTATCATAATAATAGTATAATTAATTACTTCACACTGACACCATTGTACCTGTATCTGCATTGCACCCGTGCGAAGCCGGGGCGGATATAATTTTCAAAAGTTCAACGTGGAACGGGCTATATGGAACTACTGGGAATAAACCTCATAAATGTACACAATTTTTATATAGATACTTAAATGTAACCTGGAACGAGAAATGCTATAAAAGAAACAAAATATAATTAAGTTTGTAAATTTTAAGTTTACAATGTAACGCAGTCAGTTCTTTTTATATATATATATTTATAGAAAATATATCTATATGATATATATATCATAGAATCCATTAGTATTGTATGTTGAACTTGAACCTTTGTAAATTCTTAATAATAAATTGAAACGTTACCAGTGATCATTAAAATCCAATGCAAATCTTCAAACAGGCTTACTAGTTGTTCGCCACCGCTAACCGGCAGTTTCCCCAAATGCATCAAATGTAGTTGGCTCTCTAACCTGTACACACACAAATATTTTATTTTTAATTATGCTGATATTGCGAAACCTGACGAATTCTATAACCAAAGGGGTTTGAATTCTGAACTAGAACAAAGCCAGAGAGTTCCTGATAGCGTTAGAATTTGTTGTCAAATGAAAATAGAAAAAAAATACAAATCCAATACACACTCAATAGGCTTAGTTTGTGTTAGGGCTCTTTTCTTTTCGACATTTAGACCGACAGACGGTTCATTATGTCTTCAAATAGTGTTGACTATTTGTGCTAACCTGACTTCTTTCGTAAGCACAGTAGTCTGCTGAGGTGTTCTCATGTTTCTAGGAGCGACTTTGCATCCGCGTGGGCACTTGCCCGTTGTGTGGCCCCTCCCTTAAATTTCAGGATAACGTGAGTAATTGTTTCGTCCGCGTTGAGACGTTCTCTGCGTAGAGGGCTGTCTGTGTCATCGATGGTGAATGGGCATCGATACAGCGTCAAATGTCTCGTAATAATTCCACAACTATTAAGATGTCTAAACGGTTGAGATGGAGCACTACAGCACTGGTTGAAAGCTAGTAGCAGCAGTGTGGTTGGATGTGCCACTAACGTTGCAGTGCCCTTCCATACTAGCTCATCGACAGTGTAGTTTCCGTGTGAATCGCTATGCTCTTTGATCCACTGAAGAAATGTACTACTTTTTGACGGCCATGCTGTCTTAAAAGTATATAAGGGTTGTACTCTTTTATATCTTCACACATGCCCACAGTACCGGCGTAAGCAATTGTAACACATTCACATGAAAAAAAGAACTATGTTGGCCTGATATATGTTGGTCATTGATTGATTGATGCATACATCTCACACACGGACGTCTGATCCCAAATTAGGCAGAGGGGTAAATAAGTATATATATGAGGTTGGTAATTTTGCTCTAAGATACTCAATTATTTAAATCAAGCATAGTGACTCTTCGATAGCAAATCGACATAGTGACAAGAATTTAAATATACAGATATAGTACCTAAATATATTTTTAATTTTTTAATTTATTTTTTAAACATAAAAAAAATAAAATAACCAGCAGGTATAACAAATAACATTGCAGAAGTAAAAAGAGCCAAAAATCACCTGTGGCTCTACGTACGCGACCTGGCCTTACCGGTACGTACAAACTGTTGATAAACATTCTCATATACATAAGTATTTCTAAACACATACGCATTACAGATAAATTACACCCAGAGAGAACATAAGACCGTGCTCATCAGTCAATTATTCGTCCTGGGTGGGAATAGAACCCACAACCTCCGGCTTAGCAGGCATGGTCACTAACCGCTACACCATCAGGCCAGTCAGTATAATAAGGTAGCAAACCAAATGCCGAGTAACTTCGTACGTTTTCCGTTTAGAAATCATGTCAGATTATGAGAAATCGGCATAAATGGGCCGGATCGACCGGAGTGATACTACGGCCTCACAGAAAACTGGTGTTAAACAATTGAATCGGTCATTTCAAAAACTTCTTGTCATATTTTTTTCAACATTGCATTATTGTATTGGTCTATCTGTGATAATAATGTATAGTAGGGTATAAATAAATAAATATTCCTGATGCGGAAGATGTCTTTTTTTAAAGAGAATAAATAAAGAAAAAGCGGGAACGCACTTCTTGACTCTTTAAATTGCAGGTATCCATGGCGTCTACAAGCGGTCGTTTGCCCCCTTATACCATAGAAAAACTAATTTGTACATACAAAACCATTGAGTATTTATTTACCTTTTACTTCTATCTCGGAGCAACGTAAAGAGTACATGGGAACAGTGTGCAGGTGCCTTTCTTGCGATCGCACCTATTGTGAGTAGTATATTACTGTGCAGTTTACGCTCGTCTTCCTCTAATTCATCTTTAATATCCTCATCACTGTGCTCTGAACCCCTGTAATTAAAGATTATTGTACAAACATTAGTAAGGTAATAAGCATATGACTTACACCTCCTTTATGGTTAAAAAAATATTGTAGAGCAGTTCAAAAAGGAAAAGGATGAAAAAAAATTTAGGAAAAGTGCGGTTGCTTCACTTGAGCTCGAAGAGACTTGGCTGTATCATAAATAAATAACAATGCATTATCACAAAACATCTCGGTAAATATAATTATTCTAGCTTTTTCTAACTATTATGAATTTTAATCAAATAAACATTGAAATATATTCTTCAATTGAGTAGTCTAAAATAGTTACGTCATAAGTTGCTATTTAGTACATTTTTCATACAAAATTATCGCTTTGACAGATGGTAACAAGTAACTAATTTGTAATTAAATTACTTTTGTAATAGAGACATATATTTGTAAAAGACATAAGAGGCAATATGACCCACATTGATATTTGTGGTATGGTCTAAGATTCTGTTGCAGAATCCCTACATTCATCGAGTATTCAATCAAAATCAAATTTTTTAAATCAGTTATAAAAGGGGTATTAAAAGGTGTTTTGGCCGGGTTGCTTATTAAAATGAGTCCGTTAGTATTTTTAATATACCTAATTAGTATTAATTAACTTCTGGGAAGAAATTTTATTTTCCTGTTATTTCCGTTAGTTAGTTTAATCCGAATACTGTCAGATAACATGTCTGTCCTAAAAGCACTGGAGGGCAACATCGTGAACTTCGGCATAGTACTTGAATGCCATCAAGCTTTGGAGCAGCTAGCCACGACAAATTGGGAACAATGGATTACAAGGCTTAGCAATTCTCACGGGAACGACACTGCAGATGAGGTGGCAAGATGGGGCTCGGCTACACCTGCTGCTGGCCCATCCACACTATTGCCACTGCCTTTCAACCAGCTCCGGTCCTGGGTGAGGCAAGGCACTTGTAAAGCCCACAACTCAAGGTGGAAATACTCACCCGGCTGCAGGCAGTCCAAAATGGTGCAGACTGAAGTCTCACCACGGCTTAATTGCAGCTTGATGAGTCTTGACAGACTAGACATCCTAATAGTTGTTGGACCGATAACGGGGCACCTAGCCTGAACCAAAAACTATTCACCATCAATGCGACAGACAGTCCACTTTGCAGAGGATGTCCGAAAGCAAAGGAAACGGCCGCCGACGCAGTCCTGGAATGCGAGTGGCCACACAACGGGCAAGTATCTGGAGACTTCTGCGCTTCTGGAAGAAGCTGGGTTGGCTCACCTAGCCAACCTCACCAAAACTTATAAAGGACCGTCCCTTAGATTAGATGCCAAACTGGTGCCCACCACCACAATTTAATGGGCAACCTGATCAAAACATATTCCCCCTTATATAACTGATTTAAGAAATAAGATTTTAATTGATCGATGTCCTTGGGTAGGACGCAAAGAAGGAGCCCATCCCATCCCAGTCCGTTGACCTATAGTGCCATACAAGGCGCAGCTCGCAGCTGCGGCAAGCACAAGTATCTATTTTCTTTTGCTCTTTACCTAGTTTTATTTGAAGAGGAAGTTTGGCTGAATTACTTATGACTGGCTGACGCCAAACTTCCTTGTCAAAACTAATTGATCTTAAAAATAAATTAAATAGGAAATATACCTTGTACCATCCGGTGGAGCGAGTCTACATTGTAAGTAAGTGTTGAATATTTCTATACATGGATTCAACAATGTGTCATTGGAATAACCATTGGTTTCGTGAACTAGACTACTCCAACTGTGAAGAAACTTGTTCAATGATTCTCTATATACTGTCTCATCGCTGTTAACCTTAAAGAGAATATTACAACAACTTTATTGCATTTGGATCAGATTCCATTGTAATTAAAAAATATATTGTATTAATTAGCTGATAAATGCAAAAAATCCCAGTTCATTTATTTAGAGTTCAATCTAAAATATTTAATGCATAATATAAAATATATGTAATGTTTTGCATTATATCTATTTATTCCTTTGCAAATTTCATATTCTCTATTTATTTGTTTTTATTGTATGTCATTTCGATTACAGGTTTTATTTATCAGAGTCAGATTTTATTATATTATATACATTTCTACAATATATATTTTTTAAAGTTATCACAATACTTACAAGTTCTTCCATAACCGATGCTCTAATACAGTGACATGTTAATGATGTCAAATTTTGCAAAAAAGCAGGCGGTGTTCGAGCTATCATTGGTGCAGAAAAAAACTCAATCAGCCTCCTGTATATATCGGAAATTCCAAGCATTTCTCTTTCAATGGGCTGTATATACATCATCATATTCAGGAAACCATTTACATAGTTCTCCAAGTACTGTTGTTTTGGGCTGGGATTAGAAACAACTCCACCACTTAGACTTGCTAGTTGCACCAAACAAGTCAGGGAGGGACCAGCCAAATCTGGATTAGATCTAACATACATGTGAATCTCAAAGAATAATGCCAACAGTTCTGGTTGCATTATGGTGTCCCTCCAATTCAAGCTTAAACGTAAAGCAGGTGCCATGTCACTTTCATAAATGGCTTCAAAAGCACCGATCAACCTTTTGGACAGGAGTGGAGAGACATGACTCCAACAGAGTACCATTTCCACAATAGTCAACAGTTGTTTCGTCAATAATGCTTGTTCCCCTTCTGGACGATGGCCGGAGCGAATTATCTGTTCCAATACACCTACAGTAAATCTAAATATTCGTTTCAAATCTAATGCTTCAAAAGACTTCTTCAGTCGAAAATGAACTTCCCATATTAAACCTACGTCAGCCGACTTTACTGTTATTGCATACTCTTGCATAATAGCCAGTATCAATGAGCATGCCAACTTTTGTTGGCTGATGGGTGAGCTAAGTATTATTTTCTCTAATTCACCGAGCAAAGCTTTTCTTTCCCTGCCATCCTCAATGCTTCCTCTTTTTACTATGATTGCAATTGTCTGGAAAATAATGATATTAATAAAAAAAAATACTTTGAGCTTGTTGTCGATCGGGACTAATTGCGGTAAGCTTTTGCGACGTATTGACATTAGCGCGTGCTTGTTCTGCACTGCTCAATTTGATAGTAGTTGAGCAAATTAAAAATATGTCCACATCTGCTAAGTTTCTCTGTCCAGAACACACTCGCAAGCGTGTTAATGGCATACAAGGGTTTGTAAAAGCTTGAAGCTTGTGGACGTTTGCCAAGCTTCGGCGCGCATGTAAACTAGTGTTACTAACTAGCATTGCGTGAGTTGGATCAACTCATACTTGGCTAAATGGGCTATTTTACCTTAACTTACCCTACCCTTCAAGGACACAGGCATGTGAATATGCATTTATGTATTCAATGATCAATACTGTAAAATGTATAAATGTTAATATGTACCTGTAAAAGCTTTTCCCTCAAGAACCCTGGTGTGTCTGTTCTCAGTAAATAATTGAGTAAATACTCTCTTAGAGACGAGATATCACCTTTTGTCAACAAGTTCCACTCTCTAACAAGTGCTACTTTAAGTAAACCAGCTGCTTCAAACAGCACATAATCTGAACTTGATTTTTCTAATATTTCTCTACAGAGTTCATAAGGGTTTTTAGTACTTCGAAATTCCATAAATACACTTTCTGCTTGATGACGCTGCTCTGGTGACACCACGTTGGGAGGTGCCTAAGGAACAAAGAAAAATCCTTTCAATTAATCATTTTATGAGCTTTATATGCATCCATGGCTAACACTGTTATGGATATGGATATGATTAAAAATAAAAATAAATACTAGCTGAGGAGTAAATGGAATGGAATGGAATTTTTGTAAAGATCTTTTTTCGATGAACTACCTAACCAGGGACATGGACAATATCAAGACGCCTCAATGCCATCAACTGCAACTTGTCATGCCTGTGGCAGGATGTGGCGTCACACTTGTTCTTCCGCAATGGTGGCCTTGTCGTGATTGGAAGCAGCCTTCAAAATGGAGATAAGCAGCCTCATCATTACCAGTTTGTATTAACATTCAGCCAGCATCAATGGCGTCAACAGGACTACTACATGCCTGCAGTGATTACCCCAACAACCTCATTAGTAGCTAAGTACAGCACACACACCTACAACAACATTTCTTTCCCATTTATGTAGCAAACAGCCAACTCACAGGGGACTTCAGCCCAGCACTGTACATAACACTGAACAGGAACCAATGGACTTAAGCCCCTACTCACTGGGACTCGTGGAATTCAGTTCCAACTCATTGGACCAGCAGAATACAGTTGTAACCGGGGCGGCTGTCTCTCAAGTCCATTCGTGCGATTAACCACCAAATTTTAATATGTTTAGAAATCAACACAATATGTTTATTCGATTTTATTAAATATATTTTGAAAGTTAACGATTTATGGTGAAACAATTTAAGCAGTAATCCCAACTATTAATACTTATTTTCGATGTATAAAGGATTCCTCGTCAGCGAGGTCGAAGCGCACGGCGACACTTGAGTAACTTCTATGAGATACGAGCTAAGACGCCTAGCGCGATGGACAAAAGGTAGTTAACACAAAGTATACAAACTTTAGGCATAGCCTATTCTCGACAAAGAGATAACCAAATCATTGCTACAACAAGATGAAAACGAGACCTATAAGGTGCAGAAGTAATAATACTTTAATAATAATATTTATTTCTCAGATAAAACAAACACGTTACATTTTAAAATTTTATATCCGGTAGATTGTTTTTTGATTTGTTAATTTGTTGATTTTTGTTTCATTTGATTTAGATGTACTGATGCTCCCGCAAACTAGGCAAGTGCCTATATTTTGGGGGTCAGTGTTCAGCCCTATGAAAAATGCAGATTAGTATAAAACTTATTTTACCCGGCATACCATATAATGAAGTTACTCCAATTCAAGCATATAAACTAATTTTTATATTGTATTACTATTTATCAGTAAAATGAAATAAAAAATCAAACCAATCAGATTTAATCAATTTATGAATTAAAATAAATAAATAAAACCCGCCTTAAGTAACTAAAATACTTCAATAAATTAATAGGAATTAAATTAAATCAGGACCAAACCCATCGTAAAAACAAAACAGATAAACCAAAAGAAAGTAAACGAAAGACGAGCATTACCAAAACCATTACATTTAGATTAAAGGTGAATCACAACAAATCAATTTTTAATTATCTCTTCACTTATATAAGAAATAATTGATAAATATGTAGTGACCCTCTCAAACATAGTTATGCATTTCAAACGTTTGTTTAATCATGTTGTCAGCAAACACAATCGAGCGTACCTAGAAGCTACAAATGGTTTATAAATGTACACAACAATCTATAACTACATATTTTCATTTAACATAAAATATAGTTTTTAACAATAACTTATTATTACATATTTTATGTATGAATATCTAATAATAGCTCATAATTTAACTGGTAAAGCCAGGCTGTAACCTTCTGTTTGGCATCATGGCTATTTATACTGGCTATGTTGAGAACTTTATTTATTTTATTATACAGTTTGCAACTGATGCTTGTAAATTGGCTCTTGGCATGAACCTAGAAATGCTGAATGAATGGGTAACACTAGGTGAATTTTGTTTTCCACCAGCTTTGAAATGGTGTACACTTTTATATGATTGGTCACCTGCCTCATTAACGTTTTACGTCAACGCCTTCCAATTAACTCTGCCTGATTAAAGCAACCTAGTAAGATAGGGAAAAGCTACAGAAAGCCTTCTACGATGAGCAGTGAGGAAATAGGTACAGCCAGGCAGTTACTGACAGGTTATAAGGGCCATGATAGGGTATTACCAATCATACACAAAGCTATTAGTGTATCACTGGCGAGAGTGAAAAAAGGAATAAAAACTAACAACGAGTTCTTAAATTAAGGATCACCAAAAAGATTTCGTAAAAGCCTTGCTCAATCATAAAAAGTCACTGGATATTATTAGTGACTGGATATTATTACTGGTCACTACCCCAATTCATCCCGTGGGTGTCGTAAGAGCCGACTAAGGGCGCAAAACAACGCAGGACACCAGCACTGCAAAAAGAAGGAAAACTTGACACAAACCCTATACCAACCCGTCTGGCCAGCGTGGTGTAGTAGGCCAAAACCTCCTTTCTAAGGAGTGGCCTATGTCCAGCAGTGGACTAGTAAAGGCTGTTGATGTGATGTGTGGATATTATTACAGAATACTGCAGAATATCTGTGTCTCGGTGTCCAGACCAGACATATTTTTCTATGAAAAGTCAAATAAGCAGGTAGTACTAGTAGAACTTATGGTACTGTAGGAAACGAACATCCCTAAAGACCACACTTTAAAAAGAAACAAGTACTTTGACTTAACCAACGAAATAACTTGAAATGCTTATTTCCTTGGTTAAATGGAAGTGGGTGCGAGGGGTATACCAGCTAAATCCCTATATAACCTGCCTGAAGACCTTGGATTGCCAAATATGGTTAGGTAGAGGGGGTAACACAGCAGACAGTGACGGTAAGTGCTAACGCATCGCAAGGAGTACTCCAGTAAACCTGGGTTGCAATTCCCAGGCACTGTTGCAGTCGCATGTGTTGCGCCCATTTATTAAGCAATGGATCCGGCACCCGCACGTGAAACCATGGAACACTAAGAAATAGATATTTTCTTATTTATTTATATTCAGAAAGGATATTTAATATACTGAGTCGGACATAGTGTGTGTGTGTATGTGTACAAATAATTGTGAAAATGAGTATTAACTTTAACATAGACTATATTAAACCTCTAATAAATGGCCTGCTAGTAAATTGCACCAAAAGTTTCATAACCAACCAGATACTACTAGTTGTGACTTACAGGAACACAACAACAACACAATTACATATTATACAACAGCTGCTCTGAGAATCCTTCCTTTGTGATAGATGGACATAACACCTATACCTCCATAATATTAATTAAAAAGTCAACAAGCCCTTTGTTCTAAATGTGAATTATGGATGTGGCAATAGTTACTAAAGTTATATTAATTTTATTACTCAATAGTTTATTCCTTCATTAGTGTTAAGTTTTTTTTTTACATAAAGGACAACTAGAGATTTAATAACACTCTTTTGTTTACTATTTAGTACAAATGCTTTGTTTTATTATTTTCCATCTGGAAGAATATACAAACTATTGCCCTCAACTCTGTTTATCTGCAGCACATAAATACCATTTATAGTAGTTTTTTAAGTGTGTTTTTTTAAATGTGTTTCAAACAACACACATTCAGTAATAGGATCAGTTTGAAAACAACATGACCCTTTTTTGTTTTGCAATAAGGAATCTTTTATCTACTAAGGAATTTTATTTTTAAATCACATTTAACATTAGTACACATATTTTGTAAGTCTAATTAATAGTTCATAATATATAATAAATAATTTCTTTATACAGGCACATGCTATTTTATGAAATATATTTAAAATTTCATGAACATCTTACCATCAACATCTGAGCAGCCGCTTCCAATGTTTGTATAGCTGAATTATTCATAGTTACACTTTATTATAACTTCACAATATATAGAAAAGATGAATGAAAAGTGTCACATAAACTGCTGGAGAAATGTACAATTTTATAAAACTGATGTTTAACCCTCCAGTTGTTGAGATAAATAGTCAAAATATTGAGAATACATTCAGTGAATTTTACATGTCAACCATTGTAATGACAACCACAGATAAGGCAATGTACTAGAGTTGTGTAGCTCCTGAATGAGTGATATAAAAGATATATATTAGACTTGCAACGAATATTCGGTTACTATTCGGTATTCGGCCTATTCGGCTGCTTTTATTATATTCGGCCGAATACCGAATATCTACATATTATTCGGCCGAATACCGAATACTTAAATAATAAATTTTGTCATTGAGAAAAAAATGAAAAATTAAAATCGATTGATTACGTATATATTCATATTTTCATTTCTGTTATAATCATTTAAGTAGTCATTGGTGCATAACACAGGTACATAATCATCTTCTGAATAGGAAAAATGGAGGATTCTATGTATTTGAATTATTGTGGGAATCAAATTCAAAATCAAAAAAAAAAGTAAGGTTCTCATTTCTTTTATAATCATTTATTAAGTAGTCATTGGTACATAAAACAGGTACATAATTTAATTCACGTCTGTACAAGTTTTTGGCGCTAAAATCCAGCCGAATACTTTTGCCTAATATTCGGCTATTCGGTCAGGGGCCTCGCCGAATATTCGGTATTCGGTATACTGCCGAATATACTATTCGTTGCAAGTCTAATATATATCATTCACGACGATGAAATGTATCACTCACTCACACTAGCTCCGAATATATCAGTAACTCAGTACTAGCTCACTAGATCATTAGATCACTAGCTCAACGACGCCGATCATTGTTTCATGAGCGAGTGAGACTAAAGATAAATGAGTGAGATAGGTGATGGTTGAGTTCACGCAAGTTTCTTTATGCAAAATGTACATTATTTCTATAGGATCAAAGTTTAATATTACTTAAGAATTAAGCCTGCCAAGTATAAGGAAAATCAAATTATGTACGATGTCTATTATACAACCTAAAAAAAGTACAAGAAATAATTTCTTTTTTTAAATATTATATAAAAGGGTGTTAATAATTATGTAATCTTATCAAAATGAATTAATTTAATCTAAAATAAAAGGTTAAGAATGTAGTTTCAAAAACTGAATTTAGGTTAATATGAAAATAAAGAAAGGTTTGTATGGCGAGAGAGGCTTAAAATGGCTTAAAGGCTTAGATGAAGAAATGAATTAATTGAGAGACCAATCAATTGAATCGGATCAATGAGCTAGTGAGCTAAATGAGTTGGTGAGCTAAATGAGTTAGTGAGCTAAATGAGCTAGTGAGCTAGATGAGTGATATATATCTTTAGAGCGAAATGATATGTATCAATCTTTTCAGCTCAGTGATACATTTTGCGCATCACTACAATGTACCAGTGTTGCCAGGGCCCTTGAGTCGAAAGTTACGTTTCGATCCCTGAAATATTACATTTTTGCTGCAGTTACATTCTTGCTTTTTTTAATTTATTACGGTGCGAACTTACAAAAATAAAGTTTTAGTTAAGTACCTATGTAAGTAACGTAGTATATAATTTTTTTCGTAAAAGACTAAACATGCCTAATATTTAGTCTTCACTTTTGGTTTTTGGACCGGCACTTTTTCGTTTGCAAGTTTTCGGCCCGAGGTTTCCGAAAACCTTAGTTGACAAACTTTAATGGGTAGTACATTTATTTATTTATTTATAACAGTTTTTTCATACAGAAGAGCGTATGTGCTCTCGTGTGGATTTCACTCAAACATTCTTCATTCTCTATTATTTCGAGCTTGCATAGCCCATAACTTACTCTTATAACATGATGGTTACTAAACTTTCGAGAATTTCTTAGGATGAAACCCAGGCGTCCAAAAGATTATTTTGCTAGTGTAATTATGTGGTCGTGAAACGTTAGTTCACGCTCAAATGTGAGACTCAAGTATGTCATAGCACCCAAGAATGCCTTAGTACGTAGCATAGTACATCTTCTCGAGCTTTCACAATAGTAACCTAAATCTTTTACGGAACTTTAATTGATTTCCGAATAGTTAAAGAGAAGTTATTTAAACCAATAAAAGATGCTCGCTCATATTATTGCATCATCATCAATAGGTTTTTGGGGTGCTTTTCAAGGTATTTTAATTTATATATATTTTTACAACAATTGAGATCTGGCACCCCACGCTTTTTTACGATAAAATGCTTTTCTTTTTTAAACTTATAGATTATTATTTCCTAATTTTTAGTTCGGCTACCTACAAAAGCGTGTTTTTTTTGTTTTAAATTATAATTTATTCTAGCTAAGTAACTACGAAACCGTGAATGGTGAATAAAATTATGACGAAATAGATAGGTTTGTACAGCATCAAATCATTGTGTGCGTTACCCCAGCAAAATAATGTCGAAAATGGTCATTTAAACGTTATAGATAATTAGTTGCTCCCCTTCTGTAATTGTTAAGCACATTTTTAAATTTGTTTCACTTAAACTTTTTTAGTTATTTCAAAAAAACATTTCCTGCTGGGGTAACGTTTGAAACGTTACCGCAGCCAGACATTTTCTTTTTTAATTGTAATATTGAAATAAATTTTAGCTAGATAATTAGTTATCTGGAGTAGGTAAATGTTACAACTTATTTGGTATTTGTATTTTCTTCGGCTGCGAAGTTATTCGAAATCCTGCTGGAGTAACGTTTGTGGGTTTGCTGTCTCTGCGGTCTCTGAAACGGGTAAGCGGATTGTTACCATCTTTTGTACATAACTTCTTAAGGATTAGTTTTAATTTGTTCGACAATAAAATAACAAAAATAATGGACCGTTTAAAAATTATTTAGGTAAGTATGAAAACACTTCAATACGTCCTAACACTTTAAATAAGACCTCTAAAGACTTACTTGAAACGTTATTCTATTGCTTGTAACTACCTTCAAATGTATACGAATTTTCGTAAGAATACTGTAAGTGACTAAAAAGTTATGATGAAATGTAGCTCTCCACGTTCACGATCAAAATGTGTGCGGCCTTTTTTGGCCACCGATAAACCTGTGTGTGGATATATAAACTGAATGTTATGCCAATAATTAGTTGTTTAGTTCAGTTGTCTACCTGTAGAATTTCAGCGTCGTACATATAATAATTTACGAGATAATTAAATAAAAGCCATTAGAAGGTGCAAGTCCGTGGTAATCCGACCATGTTTAGGTGGTTACAAAAAAGCGATCACCCAGTACATTGCGCTGTCTTTTAAAATGTTTAGTATAATACACCTTACGATTTCGGTACAGTTGCGTACAGTGTTAAATACATTCAATATTTATTCATTATTATTACCTATTATTTATTTTGTTTTTTTCCCTAATTGATCTTAAGCACTAGTTTCTTTACTTAAAATTTATTTAGTCTTTTTTACTACCGGAGCTACAATCAACAGAAAATCTGCACTGGTCCGCTAAAATTATAAATATGTAGATACATGTATGAACGATTCACCTGACTGCAATAAAACGAAAATTTAAACCAATAAGAAATCGTTTCATTTCTTTGATTTTTTTTTGTAAAGAAATAACACTAAAGTAATTGTATTTTATTTTGGGGTGTATAGAGCGTAGACTTGAATGCATCAAAATATTTAAAGCAACAAGTTATCTGCAATAAGTTAAAATAGACCGAATAGTAGAAGAATAAATTAGAATAAATTAGAAGAAGTTGTAAATTAGAATGCATCAACATTGCATCGCCCAACAGACGTATACCTCGTAAGAGTAGGTAATATTGTTATGTGGTCTATACCTAGAACCGAGAATTATCTATACCTATGTACCTACCGTTAAGCGTTGAGCCCGTTACTGTTGATTTCTGTTAAAAACGAACAGTTGTTGAATGATATTTTGATATAATAACGGTAATTTAATTTATCGAGTGAAAGTGATACATTTTTATAGATAAAATTATTGGTCAGATAATATTTGTCAATCAAGAATCGCTGATAATACATCCTTCGCTAGAACGCGGGAGGGGAGTGGCGAGCCGGGGTGGCGGCGAGCGCGTTGCGAAGCGCGCTCGCTTCCAGGGAGCACAGGGAACATGGGGTTCCCACACGGGGCGGGGGTCGTCTACTCGTCTGTAGATGACCCGAGGTATGTCGGGGCACCAGGGCCTTCCTTTCTAGGGTATACCTGGTTCCCCGGCTATTAGTACCCGGCGAAGGCGTGCGGTTTTAGTCGGTTCGAGTCCGACATGCCACCGACAGGTGGTATCCGAGGGGATTTCCGCACGGAAAAAAAAAAAAAAAAAAAAAGAAGGGGAGTGGCGAAGGGATACTTCATTGTTTGCAATTTGCATCTAGTGCACTAAACTTGACCCTTAGGCAGATAATATACGTGTTGTAAAGTACGTGTGCGCTTCCGCTTTCTATTTTTGCAAATATTTATCGTATTCTTGAGAGTTCTTCAATATGTGTGTACCTAATTACTAATAATAGGCATTAATGCTAATTCGATTCAATTTAGGTAATTGTCAATTCTTGTCTTAGGATATTAATTACTAATGCTAATATTGAAATTTCGTTCAGGGTGAACAAATTAAAAACGATCATAACTTTTAGGTAGGTATATCACTTATTAGTAATTTTACATAAATAATTTATTTTATTATAATTTAACTCACCGCGATTTTGTGATCAAATATTTTATTTTCTCCAACATTATTACAGAAATAATGCAATACAGAGTTTGTTCGCGATATGCTATCCTAAGTCGATTTATCACTTAAAAAAATCCCCATCTATTCACAAAATACCTATTCACAACGCATACGTTACACTCTTCAAAACTTATCATTTCATTTCATATTTCTTAAATTACCTATACCTACCCTAAAATTAAACTTCAATTAACAAATACTACGCAGGTACCAATTCTATGAACAACTATAAAC